GTATTTTACTCTTTTTCCTTACTAACTATAGTCGTGAAATTGGAAAACATGTTATTCGTAACTCGTTTGGTGTTACGTTATGCAAAACAATCAATATTCCATCATGCCATGTGCCTATTGGTAGGAAACATGTGTTGCAAAATAGTTTAATTAATATAAGAATATGATCATATACAATCTGTTAGTTGCACATAATTTTCTTTTTATATCTTCAAATAATGTCATCACAAACATACGTTCTTAATTTCAAAATTTTCCCAAACTGACAGAATNAAAAAAAAAAAAAAGTTGCATATTTAGAGCAATTTATGCACTACGTACAACATAAAAAATCACAATTACAAAAAGGCACATTTTAGGAGTTCTATTTATCTAGACACGATTAGGAGTTGTATTCAAAATTACAATTAACCCTTGTTAACAAAAAAATCTCTTTTTTATCCAAGCATGATTGAGATTTTGAAAAACCTGGTATATTTAATTTGGATGTTTTTTAAATGTTTTCAAAAAACATTGATTTTTTAAAAATTTGAAAGTATTTATTTGGTATTTTAATTTTTTTTTTAATGAAAAGTCATGTGATATTCAATTTCATTTTCTCTATAGATTTATGATTTGTCTAAATTTATTAAAATTATTGATTTTTTTTTTTAGAAAAATACGTATAAGAAGTCCTATTACCAAATTCCGCCTATAAATTTATTTATTTTTTTAATTATATTGAATAAAAAACTAACATAAATCTTAAAGAATTTCATTTTTCTTAAACTCTTAATCAAACCCTCAAATCAATATGATTGAATGCCCAAGCTTAATTCTTGAGGATATTAGCATCATGAAAGTCACCAATTTGCAGCTATGTCACATTGCCACAAGTGCCAAGAGAATAGGCCTATTTGAGTTCGCCATACCCAAGGAAAATTTATATATGTGTGGACATTGCTCACATGAAGTATGTTACCATTGGATGTGTCCTAGAAAAAACAGAATTTGGGTTTTTTATTTTACAAGTCCAAGAGAATAGACCTATTCGTTTGAGCCGAAATAATTCAATAAGCCTAATATAAACTAGGCTTGTTTGCAAAATAGATCACAATCTATATTTCAGTTGCAATTTGAATAATTTCTATTTTAAATAATTTAATACACGAATTTTCTGTTGTTTTTCGAATTTAAGACATGGATCAAGGAATGGAAAACTACAACTCCATAGCATACAAATTAAATAAATAAACAATAATAAAAAAAAAACACGATTTACCACCACCTTTTAACGTAAGTTACACAAGACAAAAGATCGATTAAAACATTCATCTGAATCACCTCATCAATCGAAAAAGAAACAAGAATCGAAGTTGTAGCCCTGAGGTTCTACACCGGCACCATCCCGAACCCTAAAACCCGCCAACCTATGCTTAGTATTTATCAACCCAAACTATAAATTACATGACTTCCATCAATAAAAATACTTTGGCCCCAATGCATCGCAAAAATTCTGTTTGTATTCTAACGGTTAAGTTGAAAATATTATTTTATGCATTATGCACGACATATCAAGAAAAATATTATCGAAAACATCCAGTCACGAAAAACTATATTGTCTATTGTCACATCTAATAATCTCTATACCCCAAACTGTAGATTATAGGACTTCCATAGACGAAGTACTTCAACCCCAACGTGTCGTCGAAATTTCATTCATAATCTAATGTGATAGGTAACTCTGAAATTATTATTTTTTACGTTTCTAGAACTATGGCGTCCATTGTCACGTTTAATAATCCCTCACGCCCCAAACTACAGATTATAGAACTTCCACAAATGAAATACTTCGACCCCAATGCGTCATCGAAATTCCTTTTGTAATCTAATGTGATAGATGGGTCTGAAATTATTGTTTTATACATTATCGAAACTATGTCCATTGCAAACTACAGATTATAGAACTTTCATAAACGAAATACTTCAATCCCCATGCGTCATCGAATTTCCGTTCGCAATATAATGTGATAGATGAGTCTGAAATTATTATTTTATACATCACAAAAAACTATGACATCCATTGTCACATCTAATAATCCCTCACACCCCAAACTATAGATTATAGAACTTCCATAAATGAAAAACTTCGACCCCAATGCGTCATCAAAATTTCATTCACAGTCTAATGTGATAGATGAGTATGAAATTATTATTTTATACATCACCGAAAATCATGTTGCCCAATACCACATTTAATAATCTCATTCCCCAAATATAGATTATAGGACTCCCATAAACTATAATTCTTTTGCCTCAATGCATTCTCGAATTTCAGTGAATCGAAAATTGTTATTTTATACATTATCAAAAACTATGTTGTCCATTGTCACATCTAATAATCTTTGATCATGCCTGCAAAATATAGATTATATGACTTCCATAAACAAAAATGCTTCAACCCCAATGAGTCTTCAAATTTCTGTTTGCAATTTGATGTGATAGATGAGTCTGAAATTGATACAAAAAAGTCTCTCTCTCTCTCCCGTCTAAAGAAAAAACCCTTGCCCAACTCGCTTCCTCCGATTATAAGCCGTCTGCCTTCCATAGAGGACTTCGAGCTTCGTCGGCGGTTGCCGGCCCTTGACCCCCTGGCTCTTGTCCCCAATTTTTCGCTCTGCTACCCGATGCCCTTGAAGCCGAGCCTAGTCTGCTGCGGTAGGGCTTCGTATTTTCCGGCGCCGATTCGCGACTTCGGGGTGGTGGTGGAGCCATGGCGCTGTTCTGGGGGTGGGACGCGTTTCAATTGCTTGGTGACCTTGGTGGTTGGGCGATTGAGGTGTTGTTGCTACTTGAAGTCTCCCCTCTGTTTCTCGGCTTTTGGGTTGCAGGGGTCGGCCGTTCTTCTGCCCTAGGTGTTGGTCGGACAGGTGATGCGGTGTTGTGGGGGCTTTGGTCAGCTTCCAGGCGTTTCTTGGGTTGGGGCTGAGGCCATGGCATTCTTTTGTCGGTTTGGGGCAATTTGGTGTTATGGCCGTGGTGCGGGGTGGCTTGGTGTTGTTCTGGGGCTAGGGTGTCGTCACCGTTAGGCAACCGAGTGGTTTAGGCAGTTTCGGGGTCGGTACATCTGGCAGCAGGATTCACAGCCATCTTATTTCTGCTGATTCGGTTAGGTGTTGCTTCTTTGGAAGGGCTTGTTTAGTTGTGTTGCTTTTGTTTTGATTAGTAGTTGAGTGTTTTTGTATGTTTTTTAGGTTGTGTGTTTGTGTTTTTGGTCTGAGCGTTGACCTCAGTTTGTCCGAGTGTAACCTTATTATCCTGTTGGGATCCTACACTCGGGTATTACTCTGTTGGGGTCTTTGTATTTGTGTGTAGTTTTTAGTTGTTTCTGTATTTTACCCTGTTGGGGTCAGTTATCTAGGCTGGTCTTCTAACCTGTCCTCCTACTTTTCTAACCTGTCCTCCCATTTTTCAGCTGTTGGCTGCTTGTATTCAGCTATTAGTTGTTTGTAATCTCACTTTTTTTTTATGTTTTATAACAAATCTTTATCGTTNGAGTCTGAAATTATTATTTTATACATCTTACAATACATATAAAAAAAAATAATTATCGAGAAATACATTGTCCATTGTCACATCTGCCCCCAACAACAAAACCGGATCAGATGTAAATAATAGTATCATTAGAGCTGAGCACATGTTGGAGGATTGTCGCTCCAAATATATCAGCACAAATATCAATTATCATATACTCACTGCACAATTTATTTTTGCATCAGAAAAAAACATTTTCCGTACAGGTAAATCGGCAATCGATCCATGGCGGATAAACCTAACAGGGACGCCAGCAGCGGCCACATAGAGACGAGCAAGGCGGAGAGACACGTGTGGCTCATGAAGTGTCCGCCCGTGGTCGCGCGCGCCATGCAGAGCAACCACCACCACCAGCCCCTGCCGCCGCTCTCCGCCGACGCCGCCGCGGGCCCCGTCGTCGCCAAGGTCGTCGTCGCGGTAGATCCGCTGCTCCCCAACGACGACTTCTCCTCCACGCAGGTACATGTGTTGAGCCGAATTTGGATGCGTGTTCGTGTTCTGTTTATGCTGGCCAATTTCGATTTTCTCATTTTCTGTGTTCGTTTTGTAATGTCGATTTTTCCTCCGATTTTGAAATTGCATGGGCTGGGTTGTGTGGAGCCGAAGCTGTGTGTTTCTTGGTGTTTGATGTCGCATGCATGGATTTATCTATGCTCAATTTTATCGTCGTCTCCAATTACTAAGAGCTGAGTCTTCGAATTGGAGGCCTTTTAGCTGGGTGTTGTGATCTTGAATGGAGTATCATTATGTCCATTAAGTTATACATCTTTTGTGCCTACCTTATGTGATTGAGAGGGTTTGAAATTACTCGGCACTGTTCTCTTATAGTTCCAAGGACTAAGTTGGTTTTGAATGGTGTCATCTCTGGTTCGATTTTAGAAATTTGAAACCTCCCATTGATCTCCACATTCTCGTCTTGAAATACGAGTGATTTGTGATTTTGGGAAATCTATGTTGAAAAATGTGCTAACCTTGACAAATATGGTCCCCGATGACCATTGTCCTATTGATTGTTCACTTCCTATCACTTAGTTTAGTCTCCCATTGACAATATGCTTCCTTAGCACACAATCATTTTACCTTGATAATCGGGGATTTATTTGAGGGATTCATTGTTCTTTTTTATTTCCGGAAGTGTGTCGGTGTACGTTTTATTTTGTTACAGTGAATTCCTATACCTACGTAATCTTCATGTCTGGGAATTAGGAGACGTGTATAAAGTGAATCTAGAGTGGTCCTTGGGATGGAATTGCTTAATTGGGTTCTGTTTAAATCACTTTCCCTTCATATTAAACACTTCCATTCATCTGATTCCATATTTAAAGAGCTACAGGTATCGATGGTGGTTAATACTTTGTATCAAACGACTCTGACCTTGTAGACCAGGTCAAAGTCTCATGGCTCTTTCGTCTTATTCATGTCTTTTTGGGCACTCAGATTATTATGTGTATCACCACTCAGGAATGTTGTTTTTTAGTATTTTTAATATTTCTTTAACCCTTTATGCTTCTTAGCAGGATGCTAATTTCAGCTCTATCTCAGTTCTGCCGTGTAAATGCTACCATTTCTTTCATAATTCTTCCATGTGCTGCTAATTATGTTAACCCTAATTATAGAAGGATCTTACAATTCATGAATTCAATACATAATACTCATATGTTGCATTTGTACAACTGAGAAATTGAATTTTTTTGGTGTCCCATTTTCACTTTTGTATTCAATGATGAAAGTTACTGCAGTTCCTCATTATCTGAAGTGATTTGGTTATTTTGATATTCATCCTTTTCATAAAAGAAAATGCCTTCTTATAGGTCATTTGACAGTTAGTCTGAGACTGATAACCGTTGCACAATTGACGATATGTACATTCTTTCTCCATTTTAGGTGGTAGAGCATTATTTTTACAAATGCCTGCCAACCTTAATTATTTTTCCTTAGATTCCAGGTCGAGGAAAAACCACTGGACTGCCATTTTTTTTGGCTTTCCTTCTCTTTATATTAACTCTCTACGTTTGTCTTATTATCAGTTCACTATGGAGTTGGCTGGCACTGCTGATAGAAACACGCCAAAGAGCTACTCGATGAACATGTCCACAGATTTTATGCCTATGTGTGTCTTTGCCGAGTCATCTCAAGGTGGCTGCAATTGTTTATTACACAATAGTCGTATTAAACAACAATTTATATTCTTGGTTGAAGATGAGGCGTTTCAGTCAGGACCAAGGACAGTACATTTAAAGTGCATACTTGCTATTAATATATTATCAGTAAGCCTCAGCCTTGGAATCCTTCTCCTATCATCTTGATAAAGCTTTTCTTGCAATAGACTAGTGTGCAAATATTAGAGTTTTCACAAAATAATGAACTTCTGCATTTACGTCTCCATGCCCATGGTATTTGTATATGATCACATGATCACATAAAGTAGTAACTGAAAATCCAATTAATGGTGGAAACATTTTCCACTACGAGTTAGTATACATTTAAACTCTTCTGGAGTAGATTTCGTACCAGGGAGCTGGGGATCTATGTGATTTTTTAATTATCTTCTATGAATTCAAGAAAGGTCAATTCTTCTAAATAATAATAATGTGGTTTTATGCTCTCGTACCTTTCTTCACATTTTTGTATGCTGTTGTTGTTGTCATTTTTAACAGTCATAGCTATCATTGAGACAAGATGGATTGTTCCTAAGTACTCATAATAGATTAATTAGTTAAGAGTCAAGGTTTTTTCTTAGTTGAAGAGTATGTTGATACTTCAACTGTAAGTTGCTTTGTAACATCCCTGATAAATTTCAATATACATTAGCATGTCTGCTTCAATCTTTTTTATTTTTATGTTGATCTTTTTGTTTAACATAGTTCAGTCTAATTATTAACGTAGCACACGCAATGACATCTCTAGCAATTATCCAGATTTTTGGCTTATGTTCATTTGTTGCTGGTTGAGGCATATGCTTCTTCAAATTATCTTGCAATATTTTATTTTTTAACACTTCATACTGTTCCGTGACTCCGCGTCAAATTGTATGCAGGGAAGCCTTCTGTGGAGGGGAAAATCTACCATAAATTCGACATGAAGCCACATAATGAAAATATGGAAGATTATGCAAAACTATGTCGGGAGAGAACTAACAAGTACATGACTAGGACAAGACAAATTAAGGTATACTTTTCTTCATTGAGAAAATTTTATCATGCCGTATGTGATATTTCATCTGGAACTAGAAGCGAGATGGGCTTTCTTTGAAACGAGCACGACAGTCTGTTGCAGAATCTTAAATCGTGTTTGATGTATCTAATTTCTACGTGGTATCCGCACATCTTCGATTTTTGAAACTACAAGATAATGCATGACCATTACGCATAGTTAAAATTAAGTGGGCCCCTCACGTTTAGTGTTACACTAGCACCATCACATTCCAGCATTGAACATTTCAAACAATGACCCTCCAAGCCAAATATACTTACATAACTAGAGTTAAACTAGAAAGGGTACAATTTTGACATAAATCTGACATAATAAAGACATTTTTAAATCGGAAATTGGAAGTTGGAACCATGCAGCACCTAACTAGAAGCGAGATGGGCAGCAATCATCTAAACCAGAACTAAAGACATTTATTCTTCTGTTTGATGTGTAAATTATATGGCATCTTATCTTTTGCACAACTCTTGCTCAGATAATTGACGATGATAGTGGGATGCGCATGAGGCCCATGCCAGGAATGATCGATATGAAGTCCTCTGTATCGGTGGTATATTTTTTCTTGTTGAATATTTGTGAAGCTGATTATATTTGTTTCTCCACATCATGACCTCCTTTCAATCTGAATATTATATCCTTAATTTAAAAAACAAAATCTTCTGTTACGTATGAATAGGATAAGAAAGCTCCAGCGAGGGGTTCAGAAACGAAAAGAACAAGAAGAGACCCTGAAGAAATGGAAAAGATAATGTTTAAACTGTTCGAAAGACAGCCAAATTGGACATTGAAACAGCTGATTCAACAGACAGATCAACCCGAGGTGTGAACCAAAAATTAACTTAACTGTATGCTTGTAATGTTAGATAAAAAGGAATAACTGAGCATGTCTATATAATTTACCTTTCTTGAAAGGCATGACAGTTAATTCTCTTGACAATGTCAGGTGATTCATTTAATAGGCCCTTTCCTTGTGTTCTTTTTGAAATACATATTGTTTTTTCGAACGGTATCTTGTACCAAATGATCTTTTCCCTTTATTCATTTATTATATCTTTTATTTTTCATTTATGTAGCAATTTCTTAAAGACATGCTCAAGCTGCTCTGTGTGTACAACAATAAAGGAGCCAATCAAGGTTCATATGAGCTCAAGCCCGAATATCGGAGATCAGAAGATAAATTAAGTTCATAGAGACTACGTTTTATCTCATTAATCTACTAGAATCAGATATTATATCCTCAATAATGTCCAGTTTTCTTGGAAAAATTAAGCAGTGTTTTTTACTGCCTTTTCCAGTTGACAGGCCAAATTGGGACCTTAATGCTTGATCAAATTTACAGTTTTTGGCATAATTAATATTTTTAGTTCCAATGGTCATTAATCCATCATCTTCTATCTTGATGTTTCCAATGGTCAATAATCCATCATCTTCTATCTTTGATGTTTGAGTTTTATGTTACTGATAAATAGTTGGTCTTTTGTGGGTAAAGTTTTTGTCGATTATTCGATTTTGGTTAAATATTAGTATATTTAAGTTTTTGTCAATTATTCGATTTTTTCCATTTTAGAACTAATAAATAAATAAATAATATACTAATTTTGTAAAAGTTCCATATAGGATCGTTTTTAAGGGATTATTCAATTTGATGAAATGATAGTTTATTGCTCAATTAAAAGAAAAAAATCATTGTAAATGTAAGTTATTAATTTGCTTAAAATCATCTGAAAGTAATTTATTAATTGGTCTTTAATTATTTTTAAAAATAAAATTTAATGTCTTTGTAAACTGGGGATCCAAGAATTTAGGGGGTGCATTAGTTTGTGGCTTTGTATGATAGGCTTTTTAATTTTCTTAGCTTTGCATGATGTTTTAATACTTTTTAAAAATCGAGACTTTTTAATTTTTATTTTATTGAAATCCTTAAAAATTTAAAGTCTAGAAGTGAGATATGTTAGTATTTTAATAAGTCTTAAAAAAACTACAAGTATCAATGGTAAATTAATTGAATATATTTCGTGACTTTTTAAGAATTGTAAAAATTTCAAAAAGACAATTAAAAAATTTTAGAAGTTTTATGAAGTCCAACTTAAATTTATTAATATTCTTAAAATGGCAAAAAAGTTATAAAATTCAAAATTAATATACCTGTTGATACACTTATTACTACTAGTTCTTTTTAAAATTACATTTATTTAATAAAATTAATATATGAATTTATAAAAAAAAATAGTTCAAAATAAAATACACTACTGTTAATATCGGTCATTTTACCCATTAACACACCATTATTTACCAAAAAGGTATACGATCACCAAGAAATCTCTTGATGTAGAATGTCTCGATCCTACGTGTCAATTATAGTGCTTCATAATTCTATGTGTCAATTTTTTGTGTTTCGAGTTAATTAGATTTGAATTCTATCCATACATATTAACACTTTTAAAATTATAAAACAAATCTTATTATGGTGTTTTGTAATCCGATATGTCAAACTTGTAAAATTATAAAACAAATCTTATTCTGGTATTTCGTAATTTTATGTGTCATTTTTGTTTGCTTCGAGTTATGTAGATCTAAATTCATGCATACATATTAGGACATTTAAAATTATATAACAAATTTTATGTGTCGAATTCTGGTGTTTTGTAATCCCGTGGTGATTTAGAATAGTCAATGTAGATATGGATTCTATCTATATTTATTAGCACTATAAAATTATAAAACATTTGACTTATAAATTAAATTATAAATATATTTAAAAGTTAATAATAAATTTTATATTTATTATCAGTTTTCACATATAATATATCAAATTAATCATCTTTTGACGATATTTGATTTCATATCCATATTGCATATATAAAATAAATAAATAAATTATTTTTCTTTATCATAAAATAAAAAATCTATTAATACGAATTAAAAATTGATAAAAATATATCAATTTAAAAACATATCTATAACATCACATATTAATTGAAAACATTATTGTAATATAAGACGGACAAATCATACAAGCAAAAAGTTATATTTTAAATATAAATAATAATGTAATTTTTAAAAATTATTAAAATTTAAATATAAGAAACTTCTCTCTTACATTTTTTTAAGAATTTTAGTATAATGATTTTAATTACTTTATATATCATTTAAAAAAGTTATTTATAAATTCATTACATAGAAATTAGAAAAAATATTATAATATAAGACGGACAAATCGTACAAGTCTAAATTCTCAATTTAAATATAAAAAATAATGCAAGTTTTTAAAAGGTATTTCAAAATTAAATAAAACAAAATTTCTTTTACATTTAAAAAAAAAAAAATTAGCATAATTTTGTTAACTACCATTTGTATCATGACGAGTATCGTAATAGCGTTGTGTAAATCATACAATCGGAAATCGCAATTTTCCTCGGCGACTTCCATACATTTTCCTCTCCCTACAACTTTCGTACTGTTCGCAGCGAAAATGGTCTCATTCGGAGAGCCATGGCCGGAGCTCAACGACGGCATACATTACCGTGATCTTATTCGACCCTCCGATGCCGGTATACATCTCTCTCTACGCCGTTGCCGGACATTGTGTATAGCTACAGCGCGTATGCGAGTGTGAATAACATGTGTATTTTGTCCTTCCGAATTTTCAGGTGCGACGCTGATTGAGTTCTACTCTAGGAAGTACAAAAGCTCAGCTCCTTTGCACGGGTAAAATAAATTTAGCATCCTTACGAAGATGAAAAATTCATTATGGAGATGTATTTTGTGAAGCGCTGAGTACTGAGCAGCTGGTTGCAGAGAATTCACAATGAGCAGATAACGATCGATGGCTGTGTTGTGACCGATCCTGATACGATTCTCAGGTTTTGGATTTTTTTATTGATGCAATTTTCTGAAGGGCTGCCAACCAGTCAATTTGCTTCAAGTAGACCAGCATTTTTATTTTTTTTTGCTTTGTAATTTGTATGTTTTGTGTGTATTTAGGGGAGGTGAAGCACTGGTTTATCATCGCCTTCCTTGGAAAGAGCCCGATGCACCATACTTGCTGGAAATTCTGTACGAGGATGGTGATGTGGTAAAACGATCGATGATTTGTTGCTGTAGGCTGTAGTGTGTTTACTGTTATATTACTTACAAGTGCCTGTTTTGAAGAATAAAGAGTCAAGTTGTGTATAGGCTGGTGTGGATTATCATTGAGAAATGGGAACATTATGAATGTATGTATATATGGCTGCATAATTCTAAAAATATGTTGTGGACTCAGATTGCTTTGAATAAACCCTCGGGATTACAAGTTCTACCCGGAGGACTATTTCAGCAGCGAACTGTCTTGACGCAACTCCAAAGGCATGCAGGTACCTCGACTACAAAAAAGCATCAAGAGTGTCATCCTGTTCCTGTTCACCGTCTCGGGAGGGGCACGTCAGGTTATTATTCTATATTAGCTAGTTAGCTATGTATGGTTGCAGACTAGTTCTACCTCAAAGTGCTGCTTTCTTCAGATGATTTTGACAGATGTTAAGAGTTTATACATCTTATTTAATTGCATGAAAGGATAGGTGGTTAAATGTTGTCTGAGAATTTGTATTTATCATGTACTTGGTCAATTTTATATTGGAGAAACCAAGCTGGAGATTTTTTTTTTTTGACCTTCTCATTAAAACATTGTTAGTTCGAACTCTGTATTCAATTAATAATACGGTGATTTCTCTTTTTGTTACGAGTTAGCATACTGTATACATATATACATGTGTCCTTATTGTATATGCTCACTTGCTTGTGTCCCTGTAGACACAAACAAATTGAAACCAAAGTCTTTATGACACTACCATTGTCATAATTTGAGATACATAAGAATATGGACAAAGGTTTCTTGATTTTGAATTTCAGTATTGAGAATTCAGGTAATAGGTTATGGTTTCTAGTAGACTTCATGATGCCATAATTCAATCTTTTAGCTGACTAATTAACGTGCTTTGTTATTTTCCATTTTTCTTTCCGGCTAAAAAGTACTATTTGAAACTCGAAATGTCTCTCAGGATCATGAAAAATTTCATGTTTGTTCATTCTTTTTTGCTAGGAATATTACTTTGTGCAAAAACAAAGATCACAAAATCTCGTCTGGCAGCTTTTTTGGCTGATGGGACATCTCTTGTTGCGGTATGTCGGTGAGTGAACATCTAGTCAGTTGTTTTAATCATCTTCAATTTGCTCTTAACTGATTTCATGGACCAGTTTATACTAAACAATGAAGCAGCAATAACATCTGTGTTTCAGTTTGGAGCTCAAAATCCACATGTATATTTTTTCATGGTTAGGTTCCTATCGTTTGTTTGTATGTACCAGTAACTCATCCTTGATATGCATACAGGAAAAATGATACAGACCAAAAGTTAACAAGGAATATAACAAAAGTATATCGAGCCCTAGCAAGTGGGATCATAGTGGAAAATGAGGTATTGAAAAAAGATATATATATATATATATATATATATATTATCTCTGTTTGCAATTTGAATTCCTCTATGTTGATCAACTGGGTTTCTTATGCCAGAAACGAACATTCATACATGATTAGCCCATGGGCACCACATACCTTCCCATGTTTGTAAATACACTGTACATTACCATATTCTTCACAGGTTGTCATTGATCAACCAATTGGGCCCGTTAAATATCCTGGTGTTGCCAAGGGGTTGTATGTTGCCTCTCCTACAGGTTCTGTTTTTCTTTATTCGAACTTTCTCCTTCAGATTTTGAAAATATTTCATCAAGTGTCATAAATTACCAGAACGTAGTGCCCTTTTTTCTCTCATATTCTCCCAGTCTACCATTCTATTGCTCTTAAAATGTCTACCTATGAAAATTACCAGGGAAACCAGCCTTGAGCAAAGTTGTTGTTCTGGAGAGAAACTTGCTGAGCAATTCCACCTTAGTCAAGGTTTGCCTGCAATATCTATTGGAATGTATAATATGCAAAGTCGGGTTTGCTTTGGTGGCTGTTTTGATGTTCCAGGAAGTTTTTTAAATCCATTATTTTGTGTGTGATACAATCTCAGTGTACTTGTATTAAGGAGCCCAGAGCATCATTCTTAACACGATTTCACAGCTAGTCTACAAGGTTTGAGGGGTGACCTGTAAAATCTGAGAGAGCGACTATCTTCTCACTTCATATAGTAATAAAATGAGTAGAACTTGAAAACCAATATCCGATATAATTGGCATGAACAGAGATTTATAGCATGATCCTCTAGAGTCTGCCATCCAAGGTAAATTTCTGATAATATATACGAAAGTTATTACGGTAAAGCTTTACACCAGCTTTATAAAGGTCATTCCAATAGGTCATTTTACATTTGCTTTAATTCTTTGACAAGATTGGTTGACCTTTTATTGCCTACATACATGCATATATTTTCCTAGTGACAAAATTTCATACAAGTTTCACTTCAGATTTGTGTATTTATTAGGTCGAAATCCAATCGGGCAGGCCACACCAAATTCGCATTCATCTTGCTTTCATTGGGCACCCACTTGTAGGTAACTCTCAGCGGGTTTAAAGTTTCTTTTGTCGTATGTTTATGTTCGTGCCCACAATTAGGTTGTGGACAACTTTAAGAAATTAACTAGTAGCTTCTTGTAGCTTCTTTAAAACTAAGTGAAATATTGCTGGAGTCTTCTTGCTGCATGAATTAGAAATTTATAAAAAAATAATAATAATAATAACTGATATTGCTCAAATATTTGGAGCAATCACTTAAAAGATATGATTCTACCACAAGATATTGTGCAAAATTTCTCGAAAAAGCGATTCGATTGATGGGACTTAAGATAATATTCGATGAGGATATTCCTTTACATTTCCACACTCATAATACAATAAAGGTTTTCGTATTTGCACCATGAAGACTCAGCCTAGTGGTATCTGATCGTCTGCTGGTGGGCAGAGATCGGGGGTTCGTATCCCTTTTTGTGCGTGCGTTGTAGGCCAGTTTATGGACCATTTATATGTATATTAAAAAAAATAAAAGAAACATATTTGCCGAGGAGTAGAATCTGTGAGGTAGAATAGAAGTATGTTTATTACATCAAGCATGATCTGAAATATTACTTGCTGCTTAGCAGGTGATCCTCTTTACGATATCGGTGGGCAACCAAAGTGTTCCGATCATAAGTCTGATGATGGAAGTTTTGCTCAAGATGGGTAAACTATATCTGATTTATTCTTGTTNCTAATATTTAGGTTCTTGAAAAATCTAATTCCTCTTTAGCGACTGAAAACCCTGATACTTAAGTAATTCTCAATAGTGTTCCATTCCGTTGCCCGCCATTTCGCTGTATTTTTTTTTTTTTAACATACAAGTCAAGGTTATTATAGAATCAATTAATTATTTATCATGAAGCATAATACGAAGAGATTTAGCATAAAGAGTCTTGAACTCTAGATCTCCACTACAATCTGGAACAAACGTTGTGATGTTAAGAAATTGATCTAATACCTAAGCCGAAGATAACCTTATTCCGGATTTTGCATCTCGGATCTTATAGTTTAGAATGAAATTGAGTAATGGTAGTCTCAGATAGCTTTATATCTGTCGTATGATGCCACCACACCCGCAAACCCTTTCTTTGCTCTTTGATTTTTTACTAAATAAATCTTCCTTTCTTCACCATGAAATCGTGTAATCACAAACATATATGGTCATATAGGTAGTCAATCTTAGAGTGTGTTTGGTAACCATTATAAGCTAACTTATAACTTATTTGGTTAGCTTACAAGTTTTCTGTATACAAATAAGGTTAGTTTGGTCGGATGAGTTTTTTAAAAAAGCTCGACCTTATCTCATAAGCTTCTTTGAGTAGCTTTTCAAATATGCTCGTTGAAATTTTTATTCCAGCTCGCTTATCAACTAATTTTACCAAACACTTTTCTTATATCAGCTAGTTTTTCAGTCATAAGCCATAAGCTTGAAATTCATTTATAAGCTATCAGTTAACTTATCAACTACCAACTACTTTTATTAACTAGTTTTACCAAACATAGCGTTATTATACTTCTTTGGGTTATCAAACTGTAAGATGAGTTTTTTGGTAGCCTCAGCAGAGATATTTCTTAATGCTTTGCATATTTAATCTGGTATCCTTATAAAATTTTGTGTAATTCTAACTAGCAGCTTTTACTGATGTCCAGTCTATAATTTTCTCTGTCATTTTATGTTCATAAGAGTACCTCCATTTTAATTTCAGAGGATATGAAAGGCCTGAAAAACCTGTTCCTGGTGACTGTGGCTACCATTTGCATGCACACCATGTAACTTTTGCCCATCCTCTGACAGATGAGGTACGTGCGTAGTCATGGCCAAATCCCGGTTCTGGGCCGTACCAATAAATTAATAAAAAAAATAAAAAAATAATAAAAAATTCAAATACAAATATAATCGCCGAACCGACAGTTCAATTTGTGAAAAAACATTTAACTGTACTGGCCCGGGTAAAACCATGGGCCAGTTCAAGGCCCGCGGACAATGGGCCTGACTGGGCCGAATACGTGTGTGTGAGATGAATTTGTGGATTGTCACACTTTGTAGAATTTTATACAAGGATTGGCATGTGACTAAATGCTGATTTAATAAGTGCATACTTCAAAGTATTTTTCACCAACTAATTTTCCCTTCTTGATCATGTTTTATACTTTTCTGCAATAACCATATTTCAGTACAATAAGTAACTCCAGTTAGCTTTATTTATATCTGAGGTCTTAAATAAAAATTTGAAGAAAGCAGGATTTTTTCCCGTTAAACAATCATGTCATTGTAAAGGCGCACTCAGTTTTTCCACCTATATGTAGAGAAATCACTATTTATCTTCTCTAGAGTTTGCAAAACACTCCCTGAGTTGTTAGTGACAGCTTCTTGAAAATGTGCTCTGTGAAGATGACAAAAAAAATTTCGCGTTATGCTTCAAGCTAGCAATGATTTAACCGAAACTCAAAATTTAGAACAATCAATTCCTGGAAAAAAAACAATTTGTAACATCATTTTTCATCTTTTTTTTCAGGTAATTGCAATCACTGCCCCTTTGCCACCTGTCCTACAAACAGTAGAAGAAGAATCCACAGAGAAGATGGCGTACGTCTGAATATAAACCGGTATTCCTTTCGAAAGTCTAGACTTAGTGATACAAATTTTCCAACATTTATGTGTTTTCATGGAAGATAACTTTGAAAATCTGGACTTTTTATTGATCCATATTTTTAAAGCATGAATGTATTTTTTTATGTTCCATGTTTGCATCCCTATATATATGAGGATATAAAAAAATCAATAGGTAGAATGTTCGGGATAAAGCTTGTGCAGATGGCCTGTTCAAGTGTGGATGATACGCAACTTTTGCTGCTTATTTTTCTACACTGCTTTTAATTCTTGAAAAATTCAAGTACAATATAATAATTTATAACTTAATGTCGAAAAAGATATGTCCGCCACTTGAGAGTTTAGTGCTTTTTTCTTTCCATATTTTCTATGAGTTAATTGACAGCTGTTGCAAGTGGTTTGATTTTTTGGCCCACGAGAGTCCCTTTCATTTGGTAAAGTCTACAGAAAAAAAAATAAACACCAATACATGAAGTCACGCTTTGTTGTCTCCCTTCACCACATTTTGGATGCATTATTTGGTAGAAGATATCCCCACCTACCACTCAATAATTCACACATTTTGGATACAAATTGAAAAATATTATTTTTTTAGAATAAGACATCAAATTGAAAAATATTATTTTTTAAGAACAAGACACCAAACAAGGAAATTTGGATCTAACATCCATTCCACATCAAGTTGGAAGGAATCTTGAAGGTAAGATACAACTTAACATACAGTCATCCAAAATCTCTATAGCAGCCACCTATCAAGGAGTTCAAATACATAAACTACCAGCATCAAGTAATTAACCTCTGGAAGAAAATGGAGATTTAAATACAGGCCCACATGAACAAATAGTTATACTTTCTCCACCAAATCAGTCAACAGAACCCTTTTTCCCCTGTATTTATACCAAATACAACAAATACAAAGCTCCTGCAAAAATCACAAAAGATCTAGGAAACTTCTTACCCCCAAAAAGAATAAGAGAAAAAAGGATCCTATTCAGAAATATTTCACTGCCTTGCATTGCTGAGTCGAAACAAAAACAAGAGAAAAATCGAACAACCAAAACAAAAAAGAAAGAAAGAAAAAAACTATAATACATACGCGACAAGAAACAATAGGCATAACTTGTCACGAACAAACTCGGCCTCTCCACTAAAAAGACCGATTAAATTAAACTTCAACTTACAGCTACCTGCCTACATCTCCATTACTCCTCCAAGTATCCTCCTCTCTAATTACATTCCCAGCCTGCACAGTTATACTCTGAGCCTTTGCATAATGCAGTTTAATTGCTGTGACGGGATCTGAAATACCCGAAGAACACTGGCCTCCAACCATCGATCTTGCTGCTTGCTGTTGCTGTTGCAGTCCCTGCACCAAACCAAACCCGTTTCTTCTTTGCATCCCTGAGAACAACACATCTTGTGATTGCTTCATATTATTATCCATGGTAAAAGGCTGCTGCAAATCCCGGTTTATCAACAGCTGGTAATCTGATGATAACCCGTTGTTCATTTCTCTTGCTTGGAAAAATGGATGATGGTCATTCTGGTCAAATTTCAAAGTTGGAGTAGAATGATTGTGGAAAGCTGTGGGGTATTTGGCCAACAAAAGAGTAGAATCGGGCAAAGAAGGGAATATTGTGGGCTGTGTTGTTCGGTTCTCATCCCAACAGCTGAAACTTTTGAAAGGAATACTATTGTTATTCTCAGAGGAGGTGAGATAACTGTTGCAACCAACCTTAGACTGAAAAGAATCTAAATTAACAACAGCATTGTCATCGCCACTGAATTTCAAGGCCAGTGGCTGCTGGTGATGATGATGATGGCCGTTATTATGGTTACTACTAACATCGTGATCGCAAGAACTGGTTTTTTTCTCCTGGGATGATATCAAGATTTTACCAAACAACTTCACATCCCCATTCTTTGAAGGCTGCTGGGGCTTGTCCAAATCAGGCGAGCAGCCTGATTGGGGTCCCGAATGATGATGATTCCTCATTGGTAGTTGGGGTGGTGGAAAAGGCACGTTTTCAATCTGACTTTTCAACTCAGTAGAACACTTCCTAAGGGAAAAATCTGCGTGCAGGTCTAAATTCAGTTTACCATCCCTCATAGGAACATTTTGTGTAGGAACATGTTTTATAACTTCACCATTAAACTCCTTCAGACTCTGCACCGAAACAGGGTAGCCCCTGAGAATATGGGAAGGCTCGACAGAATCTGAAAGCGAGTGACTTGAGATATGCGGCTGACAATCACCTGTAACAGAAAGCTTCTGAGGATGATTTTGGCTGGTCCCATTCGCACACACATCGGGTAGACCATCAGGGTGCCTTTGATACTTAATGGGAACAGAGAACAGTGTTGATGAGTCCATAGATTCAAGGTGCCCATTCTGCTCCAACGGGTGATTTTGGCTCACTGAATGTGAATTAACAGAAGGATGAGAGACATTTTCAGCCTTCACCTCAACTGGTGTACACCTTACAACATTCAGCTCAGTAGAATTTGCACCCACATCCTCAACCTTCCTATTTTCCAAATTATCATCGGACACGATGAGCTCGTGTCCTTCATTATCTTCCATATGATTCCCATTAGAGACCTTGGACAAACCCTTGTTATCATTATCAGCATCACTAGAACCACCATTTGGCTGACCATGGTCACTTCCTTCTCCAACTCTTACTGATTCAACAATAGTAGTGGATACAACCGAGGTTTTCACGTCAAGCTCGGGTGTAAATGCCCCAGCAACACAACTCTGTTCTTTACTGTCCACATTGAAATCCACAACTTGCTTATCATCGACAGGAATATCATCACCCATCGACAAATCCTTCGAGACGGGTTCAGCAACAACAGAGTCGATGGGCGCTTGACTACTTTCCACACAAGTTTTATTAAAATCAGGCTTCGACTCGCTTGTTCCAGGCATATCAGATTCACGGCTGCACTTTTCGGGAGGATCCACCTCCATTTTACACTCCGAGTCGTCATTAGCAGTAACCGACCCAATCTGCACAACACAATCATCTTCTGGGTCACTACTGCCATCACCTCCATCAACATCACCACCACCACAAACAGCAGCATTGCCAGGGCCAGGGGTAACACGGTCCAACCCTAGGCACTTCCGAGCCTTGCTAAAGAATATCTTACACTGCTCGACGGATCTCGTTCTAAGACACTGAGAGATCATCGCAAAGTCCTTGCCATAAGACGACACGGCCTGAACAAAGAAGGATTTCTCCTCATCAGTCCAGTCGGTGGTGAAGTCCACCATCTCCCCACAGCTCTCGTCTGAGCACTCGTCATCAACACTCTGCGTGACATCCGGAGTCAAAGGCCGTTTCACGCAAGAAGCGACTCTCTGATGATAACCATCAGTTGGGTCAACTGAACTTGTGATGCAGGAACCCATAGCCTCCCCTGAAGATAGTGAACCACAAATACCCGCCAAGACATCAGCAGCTACGGCATCATTATTATCCAGACTGTTTGATCTCTCCAATGGACCATGAAAAATCCTAGGTGGTGGTGCCTTTTGAGAACGAGATTCTCCAAGAAAGATCCTCGACGGTGCACATTTCTTCTGCTGAGTTTCTATCACATTAGCTGCAATCATGGAGGCTTCACCAAGTACATCAAGAGATGCAGCATTTGCTTCACGATTCCATCTTTTCCCATTAGCGACCAAGTATGTGGTGGGCTGGGACTTGCTCTGCTTTGTTACACCTGGCTTAGCTCTCTGAAAGCTTTCTGATTTGTGGTTCTTATAGTAAAACTCGACGCAATCTGCCACAGTCTTACGTTCCAGGAAGGATGCAATCTTGCTGAAATCTTTCCCGAAAATAGAGAGCTTGTCAATAAATATCTCCGTCTCGTCAGGGGTCCAGGGATTGATTATTGACCTCTCTCGTTCAGCAGCACAAGGATCTTCCACAATAGCATTATTCGAGACAAACCTTGACATTTTTATCCCCTTGTCCAAAATCATTGCCGGCATTTTCAGAGTACTCCTGCAGGGCTTCATCTGTGACTCTCTAAGCAACTCGGTGATAAACTCAATTACTTCTTCGGCAGGCACTTTATGAGAGCTTCCAACTAAAACATAGAAAGAAAGTGTAAGTGAAACGTCAGGATAAAATGGCCAAGGAACTAATTTCAAATCTTATTTAAACAAGAAATTACCACAACAAAGTACTAGATACTTGCAAATATTGGATAAAGATTGCCTCAAATGGCAAAGAAAGAAATCACTCCTCACCTTTATGTAGGACAACTTACGACTTTTACAAGAACATGATAAAACCAATCCTGAGATAACAACTTGACCTATTAAGATATTAAAAGCACTACAGTCTACACATCTGAATTACTGACTCAAACTTGTGGTAACCCATTTAAGAATAACAAGAAACCTCTGGCTGGCAACACAGGAATTGAATTGTTAATATACAGCTCTTACGACAGGCAAAAACTATTAGAACTCTAATCCTTTTTTATGAAAAAATTACTCCACAAACTAGATCCAATAAAATCCTAACTAGTAACAAACAAGGTGGGTTATAATAGGCACCTGAAGACCAATTATATGTTTCGTTGACATATTAAAGAGACAGAAAGAAATAATAGTCTCAGGTGGCCCGTCGCCAAACCAACCAAAAAGAAGGTTGTGCTCCCGAGAATGAAATGTTGGCAGTACAAGAAACCAAATGGGGAAGAATGCTGCAAAATCGCTCTAGTATGGGACTTTGAATATTTGGACTCTGTCTAGAAAGTAGAAATATTATCCTCGGAAGCATCTCAGCTCACTGTAAGCTTGAACTTATATTTTCTTGAATATAAACACCATAGAAGCATGGCCCACATTGCCTATAACCTATGGAGAAAGAACTGTAATTCAAATCTTTCCATCCGCATAGGTGTCTATTGGAAATGTGACAGAATCATTTAAAAATTTATATGGGTTCAATTTCTTATGATAGATCTGGTTTCCATCTCCTCTTGAGTACACCATTAACATTACCAATAAAAGGAGTGTGTGAAAATCATTTCAGATAAAGACTAAATGATCAAAGGAATATACATAAAAAGCAACTAAATTACTTACCAGAATAAGATAATCTAGAGCGATTGGACGAACGATTCTTCTTGAACCCAGTCCGAGACAGATCCAACTTCTTGTGAGACTTCCCTCGAAGTTTACTAGCAGAAACTACACGACCTTCTCGCCAGAAATGCTGAAATACCTTAAACTTGAGAGCAAGAACCTTCTCCTTGAACATGAGAGACCGCTTCCTCATCAGAAACCTATGCTTGATTACTGAGGTATCCTCTTGTAAAGAAGATACACTTGCAGCAGCCAACACATCTAATGGAAACTGTTGAGTAGGCAATAACTTATTCAACTCCTCCAGGGCCCTGTTTGCAGAAACCTTGTTCGAAGCCAATATATCCTCATAAATATGATGATAGTCAAAATACATACTGCCAACACCAGTAAGATCTTCATCTTCATCACTCGCACTATCTTCATATTCATCACTCATATCATCTTCATCTTCGTCACTCATACTATCTTCATCATCGGCTGGAGGACTCTCAACAATCATGTCTCCAGATGGGACCACTTGCAAAGAAGGTTTAACAGAGCTAGAGACAGTTACTTGCTCATAAGAATTTGAATGGCACTCTCTTGGGAGCAAGCTAGAAGCTGCTGGCTGAGAACAGCAACTTCCAGGTTCAGTTACCAGTGACTTGAATTCAGTCTCGAGCACATCTATCTCAGATTCCGTCACCTCAAGTGCTTTTAATACAGTGACCTTCCATGCTAACAATTTATTCATCGAGGTGGCTCGTACATGGCCTGTTTCCAGAGAGGCCGGATCATCCGGTTGCAACATCCCATTAATTAATGAGCTCAGTTTGGCAATAGATGCAAGATCCAAATTTTCCAGATTGAAAGTCGGTTCCTCGCAATGAATCTGGGACATAATACTAGGTGAAAAGCTTACATTAGCAGGATCATGATCGATTTTTACTGCCTTGATGGATTCTTTCTCCTCAATACCTGAAATGTGTAAATATATGATCAGTATAAGAAACATTCACTTGAACGAAGCACATGCACATGTGAATAAAGCATACAACCCCATGCAAGCAAAGGCAAATTCACTCATAAAGGACCAGACAAAGACCAAATGTCATTGCACCAGCAACATGTGCAACTAAGTACAATATATGAATCTATCATTTGAGCGAAGGTGAAAAAAAGATCACCTTCTTTCAGAATATTAGTCCTCGGAAACAATTAAGCATCATTTCATTCTTAAACTGTAGCACCATCAGCACGTAATTCAAATATGAGATGCCCTTCATTTCAACAAAGTAACTTATCAAACAGTTTATATTTAATGGTATTTGAATGGTGAGAAGAGTGTCAACAGACTGATGATAGCAGATAACCAAATTGTTTGTAGAGCTACTCACAAGTTAATTACATTAACATCGGTGTTCTCCAGGTGATGAAGAAAATGATCTTAATATTACGAAAATGATTAAAATTACCAATGAACACGTCGGTTATAACATGTAGGGACGGCAATTGCCGGCAGGATATGAAACAAGAACAAGAAATGATTAGAAAACACGATTATACAGACAAATGACACAATAGACATATCACAACACAGCACAACCCGAAACACGAAATAAAAAATTTAGTTAAATTTGGACTTATTATCATAGTTATGATCAAACAAAAAAGATAACACGAAAAAATGGTAGTGAAACACGACACAATAGCACGATTTTCCACCCCTAGTAACATGACCCTGACCACAGCCAGCAAGAAGTAAATCACTTGAAAATACAGGTCAACTAAAGATTTAATGAATGAAACAAGATTTAACATAAACGCAACCACAAAAGAGTAACTCACGACAATTTTTTACCAAATCAACATTCGGAGACACTAAAATATGTTTTATTAGCAATAAACAATATATATTCAACTTTGTTTTGAATAATTTGCTTTTTTAACGCAAATGGCAGCGGTTTCATTAAAATAAACAAGGCCAGATAATCTGATTCACTTGTTACATGGTCCTCTAGCATTGGTTCTCGACAGTTTAATTATGATTTATCAACATGCGGAAACTAATTCGTTACACATTACTCCCTCAGATACATTCTGTTCTTTTGTCTCGGGCTCATAGGAGTTTTCATAAATTTAAAGAAAAGTCATTCATTGATGTATTTAAATACTTGATGAATATTTTGCCCACTTCTATTATTAACGCACACATAATTAGAAAGTTGTGCATAGTTCAAAGATTAAGAGTTAAAAAAGAAATCGATGCAATTGATGTTGTTTGATTTTCCAAAACTGACACATAGAATGAATCAAATTATTGGTTTTCCCAAGATTGCGCAAGCACCTTGTCAATTATATTTTAAAAAATTAACTATTTGCTTCCGATGCTCATTACACCAACACGTTCTTCAACAAAAAAACTACTGGAGCAAAGCAAAACTGGTCACTTTGAAAGACGAACCAATATCCCTACTATCTAATACCTTTTATTTCATTTCTGGTAGAAGCATATCTAATGATTTCACATCATGCCCCAGCTCTCATTTCCAACTATTTTGATGACTACCAGAAAATGAAGGGCACAATAATATATATTTATTAAAAAAGACTAAATAAAATTCTCAGTCAACAAACATGAACGGCCAAGGTGACTTGGACTGAGTTAACAGGTCAGCCCACAGAATTTTATAGCAGAAACAACACTCAAATTCTCTGAAGCCTCAATTGGCATAGCAAGAAATAGGGAGCCTTGCTTGACTAGACACTTCATATTAACTGAAACTGGATACTCGATGAAGAACAGTACAATTATATTTGTCCTATTAGACATGGATCTACAATACTTGAAAGCAAGTTAACAGAAGAAGGTCACGTTTATATATGTATCTTCATTTAATTCTTCATGCAAAGAACCTTAGAGTTAGACCTCTGAAGTCTGGCCCTAAAGCCCTCAGAAGTCTAGCCCTAAAGCCACCATAAGTTTCAAATTATTTTATCTATTGTATCTCAAAATAGGCCACTACCAGATATCTCCAATCGATACATCAAAGATAATAACACACCTATTGACACTAATTATATGATATCTTCAAGAAGCTTAGAGGCCATCATCGCTTTATGTGATGTTACCCAGCAATAAGCTGGATATAAATGCACTCAATCCAGGATCTTTAAGGAATCAATATTTTCGCCATCCCAAAACACAATCTAACAAATATATAGCAGAAAACAATAAGATTTCCATCCCTGACATGGAAAGTAATTGCATATTTCAGAAAGATTTTAATCTATCACAGATTGTAAACCAAATAAATGTTAATAATGATATATAGGAAAATTACTTTGGCAAATTTGAAAGTGTGTAGAGTAAATCGGGGATCAATGAAACACCTAGTGAAGAAAAGTAAGGTGTTTAGTAAAACACAATATATTACCTGGTGAAGAACTACAACCAACCGAAGACGGAGTCGCTGGTGAGGCACAATCTAACACATCTACGGCTTTGGGACTCTTATGAAGCACATCAACAGAAGTAAACTGCATAGCTTCCGTCGTGCTGACACTGTTAGCCACAAAATCTTTCGAAACACCATCTTCAGGACCATCAACTTTTTTCTTCTCATACTTTGCAAGACCCTCGCCCCAGCCAAGGCGAGGCTTCTTCCTTGAGCCAGTGTCGTCAGATGGAGCTCGAGCAGTGGGCTCCACACAAACAGCAGCAGGTGTGTCAACAGGCGCCGTATTCTTCAGCTGCACATCTGCAATTTTCTCGACAGAACCCACTGCAGTACTCTTGGAGTTACTTGAACGGCTTAAACCAGAGCCCCTTGAGGACAAGTTCCCTGATCGGTTCCATTTCAGCTTCCAGTCCATCGATCCCACGGCATTTTCTTTGTCGGATTTCTGAACTGAGCTGGCAGGTTCATCGCGAGTGCCCCCATCCTTCTCATTCTTCTCTTTTAAGACGGTTTGAGGTTGGCTGTAAATGGAATCCGGAGGAGGAAGATGGGAGTTGTTGCCCTTACTGTTGTTTTCGATATTCTCGGGGCCATTGCCCTTACTAATGTTGTGATGATATGTTTCTGCATTCTCGGAGTTGTTAACCCTGTTGCTGTTGCTTGGGCATGTTTGGGCATTCTCTACAGATTTCTGATTGCTCAAATCGTCGTTCAATTTCCCTGAACCACCAGACGATGCAACCGGTGGTTCCCAGGAGGGAGACTTCCAATCCTTCTGGCTAAAGGACCCTCTATTTTCCCTACTATTCCTAAAATACCTCCCTTCACCGCGTGACCCAAAAGGTCTGAAATTGTCATCTTCTAAGTTTCTGTCACCGTACCTTGACCCAAAAGGCGAAAATCCACGACCAGCCTCATCGGGATGCATTCCCCAACCACCCTGCTTACCATGACCTTCAGCAAGAAACAATAAATACCAAAAAAACATGGGCAGAAAAACAACATAAGATAAACTGAATATCCCATGAGGACAATGATTTTCGAAATTTATATTATATAAACCCCAACGAAAAGCAAAGCAGCGTTAGATCTACACAGAACCACACAGAACCACGCACACGCCCAACTAGATTTGTTTGTTATTAATACAGCAGATCTGCTCCAAATTCATCTACCAAAAACCCTTTAGAGTATTAACGCAGTTAGCAAGGCTATAAACCAGCTTTGTCAATCTTAATCTAGAGAAAGATACACGAATCGACCAAGTGAAAACCTTTTTTAATATCTACAAACCACTCACTCAGGAGAAAGCTCTCAACTATTATTTTAACAACACAAACTCCACGAATCTGAACGAAAAACCTAATCTGTCTGACAGGAGACGAAACCAACCCTCTAATACCAGAGAACCCCTTAAAAAATCGGAAGAAAAAAGGAGAGGAAGTCCTAAATCGATTACTCACCGGATGGGATGGGGCGAGAGGAGCGGAAATCCGAATACCAACGCTGCTGCTGCGGATTGCTGCGGTGGTGGTGGTAAGGCGGTGGGTGCGGCGGCGCGTGCGGGTGATGCTGCTGCTCCCTCCATCTGTGGTCCCCACCGCCGAATCCTCCCCGTCCTCCTCCACCGCCTGTAAAACGCCGGTCGGAGCTGGATCTATCGTGCTTGCGAAAATCCCTTCGATCCCACGGCAGATGCTCCGGCGGCATCAAATACTGGTTTATCCTCTAACCTCGCTGATGTTTCTTCCTCCTCTTTGCGCCGCCTCGCCTCAATCTCATCCAAGACGGCCCCTTCTGTACAGAAGCTAACTTTACACGACGATGGTCCCTTAATTTACCGCGGTTTTAAATTAGGGTTTCCTAGAAACCAGAGAGAAATAAGAAGAAAGGAATAATTTTTTTTGGTGGGTTTCTTCTTTTTTTTTTTTCCTTTTTGCGTTGTGTGTGTTGGGAGAAGAGAGAGAAATAAGAGAGAGAAAAAAAGAAGAATGAAATCTGGGGTTAAGGGCGGAATTGAAGTGATAAGAGAAAAGGAAAATGGAAGAAAGAGGAGAGAGAGAGTGTGACAGAGCTTCTCTCTACTTTTTATTTTTTTGTTTCCTTTTTTTCTTTTCCTTTTTTTTCATTATTATTACTAGTGTTAATACCACACAGGGTATATTACAAAATATTTTATTATCTTATAATTCCAAAATATGTGTTCATTTTATAATTAACTTATATAATATGATTGTTTAAAGAAAGAAAAAAGAGTATTGTTCCTCTCATTTTCCTTTTCCTTTTATCTTTTCTTAATTATAACATTTATAATTATTTTCATCATTCAATTAAAACACATGCTGCAAGCCTGCTTGCATTTCACCGTTCACGGGTCCCAATGCATGTCCTCAATAATTGGGCCTACAGCATGGTAGGCCCAGGTACTCAACCATTGCCTTCTTTCCTGGGTTTGGTACTTATTTTCTTCTTGAATCTTAAGATTTGCGTTTGACTGTGAAAAGATCTAAGTGCATCTAAATCTATTTCTGACATAAAATCCAGGAAAATAACTAAAAAAAGAATTTGATGAAATTTATCTGTTTAGCAAATTTCAAATAGTATACACTCCCGAGTTCTGCTCAACTTAATCACACCAAGCATTTTTTTTTTTTTTTCATTTTCCTNAAGAAAACAGAGTTGATACATTTCCGAAGTTCTGAATTGAAAATTACCAATTTCTCTTGTTAGAATATGTTCTAATAAAACTAGTGCTCGTGAGAGAATCATAACCAAACATAAACAAGAAAATTTTCTCCCAGAATCTGAAAACATGCATCAATAAATTTGTGCAGAAGTTTGTCGAAGAGAAAACCGTGCATACACAAATTGCCTTCTCGAAAGCTTCTAGACATTTTCGGCTGCATCATTTTGCGTATCCTCAGTCTTCTTTGAAGCAGCGAGTCTCTCAGCTGCAAGTCTTTCTTCGAGTGCCCGAGCACCTCTTTCCCTGCAAATTCAGATAGAAAAAACAAAAGAAAAAAAATCCATGTAATTTTTGTTATGTGGGTCATAATTTGCTTCCTTCATCTCCTAGTTCGGTTCTATAATTATTTTATACTAATAAAATCTTCAAATAATAGGCTCCTAAGATGAAAAAAATACCACGAGCCATAAATAAAGTTTTTTTTCTTATAAAATTTTTCAATTCATAACTCATACTCAAAATATAACTCAATTTTAACCCAACCCCACTATCCTCAATTTTATCAATAAATAATATCAACCAATCATTCTTACACATCACATGTAATTCACTATTCACCCACTCACAAAATTTTAACTAATCATCACTTCACATCATCACTCTCATACTTTCACATCAAATCAAATCAACTTTAATTACTTTATTTCAAATATTATTTAATACAACAACAACAACAACATACCCAGTATATTCCCAACAGGTTGGGGTCTGGGGGGTCAGTCGTACGCAGACCTTACCTTTGTAATTATACAAGGAGGCTGTTTCCGTAGCGACCCAAGGTGCATTACCCCGTTTGATATATTTTTTTTTTTTCTAGAAACTTCAAGAAGCACTAGAATTTAATTGAGCCATTTTGATCTAGTCCATTATTAGCACTATGCCAGGAGAATTGTCAACAATGACTCTTCCAGCTCCATTTGCAATGGACAAATTCAAATATTATTTAATATAAACACAAAATCTCACTAACAACTAACCATACAATCTTTTTTCAAAATTAACAGTCAACCAAAAAAACTCTTCCAAGCACGCAAATTCCATATTGGATCCTACATTACTTACCTCCTTCTGGTTGCTTCAATAGGATCCGAACCAGGCAATGAAGTCCCTCCCAAAGTGTGGCCTCTTGACTCATCCGTAGATTCAGTTCTTCTTCCACAAAACAATCGCTCAAAAATAGTGGCAACAGGATCAATTACAGGTCTGTATGTAAAACCAGCCACCATTAAAATGTAGAGGTTGGGAGAAAGAAAATGACCAACATCTTTAACTCACGAATACAACTACCTTAAAAGTTCAGGAAAAAAGGTAGACAAAGAAAATTCATCACTCGGGTCGCCTCTCAGATTTGTCTCTGCCTTTTTTTGCCAGTATCTGAGGTAAATCCAACCTATATAGGTGCCGAATATCAAACTGGGAAGATATGAGGCTGAATCTGTCGTGAAAAAGCTTGCAACAATAGACACCAATAGCACAATAGAGGGCAGCCACTGTAAAAAAAAAAAATAATAAATAAATAAATAAATAAATAAAAGCGAGTTATTTAAGCTCCAAGCCCTCTTTCCTTTGAATTCCAATTCAATCAAGTAGAGTGCACTAAGTTAAAAATAACTATGATAATAACAACAATAATAATGCATAAGGAGCAATTATGAAGATGGTAGAGGAAATTGTTCGGCATTTTAGATTGAAGATGTTATTTCAGCGAGGCGCAATAGTAAACCGCACAAAATCTTCCAAAATAGAAACACATACTTTTGCCTTTATCTTCAGTAAGGAAAGCTCTTGATCTGGTATTATCTGCTTGATACCAACTAAGAAGCCTGAAAGAACCCCTTGGAAACCAGATATAGGTGCATAGCTACAAAAGAACGAAAAAAAAGAGCACTAAAAATATAAGAGCTTATCAAGTAAACATTTGGTGGAGAGGGCAGCAGCAAATAAAATGAGGTAATTTGTTAAACAGCCCTAAGAATTAAAGATGATGATCAGCTGACAACAGATTCATCTTTTGAATTTTAGTTTACAGAGAGAAAAATCTCAGATACCAAATTCTCCTGTTTATTTAGGTTTCATTCACATACAAAATTCTCCAGTTTATTTAGGTTTCATTCACATGATATTTCCATGATTTTGTGGAATTTTGAATATAAAGTTCTTAGAGTGAATTTTGAAACATACTTCTCGGTAGAATATAGCTCTTGCAACACTTACAGGTATATTTCCTCTGTTGTAATGTAGTACAAGGAAATAGCCGTGACGAAAACACAAACGAAAGTCAGAAAGTTGACGATAAAAATGAACTTCAAGAACTCCCGAGAACCCCATATAGGCTCAAGCAGCTTCCCTATGAGAAGAAGACCAACTGTGCTGACTACAAGCTGCAAAATTCGAATGATGNAAGCAGGTAAAAGACAACATACCCCATATATGGACTGTTCAATGTATCCAGCTGTTAAGAGATTCCAAGCAAAAGGAATAGTTCTGTTGTAAGTTCCAAATAAAGAAAACAAAAATGACGTTCCTTTAGTTTTACAAAAGAGGTAAGCGTAAAAGCACTACTAGCTACTGCATTCAGTATGCTTTTGTTTACAAGCTTCCAGCACCACAAATGATAACCTTCTTCAAGCATGCCAAAATTTAAAAACTCGTAAGGTTATTATGCGCCAGCTCTCTTATTTGTATCCTTAAGTGTTGAATGCAAGAGGCTTCTATTAAACGGAATTTTTTTCAGTAGGTGTATTTGAAAGACTGTAAACTACAGAGCACAACCAAAACAAAGTTTTAGTTTGCCCGAGCACTTCTCACATCTTTTAAATCCCAATTTTAACAATTAAAGTATATCACATCTATGTGTGTGCTGCATGTTTGTGATAGTGTGTGCAAACACCACTAACAGAGAACCACACAAGCATATAACAATGCATCCAAATTACAAAAGCTAGCAATCACCAGTAATACTATTTTTACTACCTTCCCCTACTATATGTATTTTCTGAAAATAGTATAATATGAACAACTGATATGACATGCTTAGACAACGCCTCGTAAAGAAATTGTTCACTGAAAAGTATTAAGATGAGAGCGCACAAATTCATAGAAATAAGTCCAGATACATATCCTCAACAACTAATCCAAATGTATTTCAATCTCCCATAATCAACACTCTCAGTATACAACATATGCCTCAAGCTGCCATTCTAGTGCAGCCAGTTTTGTTCTGCCACTCGGATACTGTGTAAGAATTCTAGGCATAAAGTAATGCTAACACAATCAGCATAACATATATTCTTCACAAATTAGTCTGTCCCAAATGAGAAATGTTGATCTTCCTTATTAGCAATCAACCAAGGATCATTTCTGTCCTAATAATCACGAAGAAGTACATAAAACGGCTAATATAATGTCTCACAGACACAATGAAACACAATAGACACATAACAAAGCAAATAAAATGTACCCAGAAAAATGCAGAAAAGGGAAAAATTACTTGGCAGGGATAAGAGCAAGATAAGAAACTGCAGAGGGCAAAATCTTAACCACAATGTGACCCCCTATCAACACCACTGCCAGCCCCTTGCACAGCTTTGTAAATCCCGAGTAAAAGCTCATGCCGCCCTAATTCACAGAACCAAAAAACAAGAATAAATAGATAGATAGATAAACCCACCCTCTTAAAACAGTCAAAAACCCACTTCAGATCTCATGAAAAACTGGAACTTTCAAAACAACTTAAGATCAATAATCGCTGCGCGTATATGCACTCAGACATCTACATAAAACAATAACTTACTCCTGATAGCGATGCGGAGCTCATTGTGGATTCAAATTATGGGCGATCTGATTGGGAAATATTACAGGCGAGATTGAAAAGTGAAAAGATATAGATCGGACTTCTTGATTGAACGGCGTGCACCCGTCGATGGTACAAACGGAGCTGCAGTGAGTAAAATTTGGGAACTTTTATGTGAAGAGTTGGTAGTTTTTTCAAAGTCGGTTCTCTAAATGTTTTTTTGCAATGGCCAAAATTCGCCAATTTTTCTTCTTTTTTGCTCAACATATTTATTAGGTTTTTATTTCTTTTTTCTGATTTTCTTGGTTTTTATTTTTCTGATTTTCTTAGCGTACAAGTATTTTGGAGACCCATGGTTTCAGAATTCAGGGTATGGGCCATGGTAGGGCTGCAAACGAGCCGAGCCGAGTCGAGCATTGGCCTTATCGAGCAGGATTGAATTTTTTTTGAGTTGCTCGAGCTCGTCGAGCTCGATTTTTTAGGCTCGAGCTCGACTCGATAAGAAAATACAATAGCTCGAGCTCGACTCGAATTCAAAATGCTCGACTCGGCTCGAGTTCGGTTCGAAAATTTTCAAATAATTTTGTCAAATTATATATATAGAAGGGGTATTTTAGTAATTTACCATATATCTCGAGCCGCTCGCGAGCCGCTCGACAATGTAAAATTTGGGCTCGAGCTCAACTCGAGTTCGTGCTCGAGCCGCTCGAGCTCGACTCGAGTTCGGTCAAACTCGAGCTGGAGCCGAGCTTTGACTCGAGCGCTCGCGAGCAGCTCGTGAACCGCTCGACTCGTGTGCAACCCTAGGCCATGGGGCAAATAAACCCAACACAAGCGCTATGTGAATGTAGAACTTTTTATAGAGATAATTACCACTGAAGTAACTAAAATACAGCATATATAATAACATAATATTTTATTTCACGTGTAAAACCTGACACAAATATTTGCATAGGTACAGACTATGTATAATTTTTTACTTGCATTTTTTTAAAGATAACTATTAAAGTAGTTGTATGCAATTGATAACTGTCTTAATTTAATGAGATTTTACTTTTGTAACTTTACAAAAACTTTACCTTAAAACTTCTACGCCTAAAGCCATCTTCAATCTTCTCTATCCATATATATAGACGGCCCTCAACGCCGTCGGCTCCGAACTTCCGACGCCGTTTCTACTCGGCGGGCTCTAAGAATGAATCGTCGTTGATGAAGGAAAACCCCTTTTGATCACTCATCTCGACTGCGAAGAATCTTAAGTGATTTCCTCTCCATCCTCAACTCGACTGCTGAGAACCTTAAGTGCATATCCCGCGCCATCTAAGGCCTGACCTCATCGTGACCCCCTACATCGAGGACAAGGTCCGGGCTTCTGTTGCGCCGTGAGGTATAACATCAGCCTGCGAACTCGCAGAGACAACCACGACTATGAGCTCCTCCTTCACGGGGGAGACCTTCGTTGTCCTCAACTTCTTAGAGGACAACGCGGCCATATGGGGCGCAGGCTGAGGCGGTGCAGCAGTTCGGGGCGGAGACAAGAATCTTGGCATCCGATTCACATATTAATGATGTCTTAGTCTTGGGGAAAAAAAATCACAAGTTTTGATTTATTTATTAATGTGGATGATTTCAATGTTTATTGGCGTTTATTAATAGTTTATATTTGATATATGAATATAAATTTTTTAGTCACGTCATGAGATCTAATAATATAAACATGTTATAAATAGTATAACATTTATGTAACAACAATTTTGATGTTTAGATTCTGTCGTTTATAGTTTCTACTTAATTTTATATCAAATATAACATTGAGATGTAAAACACTTTATAAGTGCTCTTCAAAATGTAAAAATAAAAATAAAAATTATATACTATAGATTAATGTTTTTGTTCTCTCAACCAAAATTTGGTTTTTACTTAGTTTATAACATGTAATTATTTATATAACATATAACTTGAAGAATAAGAATTTGACATGGACAATATGAAAATTGATGAAGATCAAAATCTTTGTACAAAACGGGCATAGAATAATTTCAGCATATGTTACTTTTATAGTCTGTATATTTACAGTATATGTTGTGTTTTTATTTACATAACATTCATCTAACCACAATTGTGATGTTTTGATTTTGTTTGTATTTTTCTTTATATTTTCTACTTAATTTTATATCAACGAGCTATATAGTTATGTAAAACACTTTATAAGCACTCTTCACAATGTGAAAAAGAATATACATAGTTATGTAAAACACTTTATAAGCACTCTTCACAATGTGAAAAAGAATATACATACTCGATTATAATTTTTTTGCTCAACCAACTTCGATTTATAACCTACAATTTTTATTTATAGAAAAAGAGGGAAATAAATGAGATTTTATTTGATGTTATCAGAATCTTAGACGGACTAATTTCTGAAGGCTCAATGCCCATCTATTGCTGCCATTTTTATTATTTTTATTTTTGTTCCTAACCATTTAATTTTTCTTTTGGTTCCTAGTCCTCAAGGCTTAGTTTGGTTGGTGGTATTGAAATCTCTCTTGCCATGTAAACATTTGGGATATGGTAGAGTTGGACATAATCACGACTCAACACAGATAAGGACCCATTGGCACCCAAACACAAGATATTGGCAATATACATGTTTCATCCCGCTCATATCATGCACTTATAATTGGTTTAACTATTACTTATTTACTATGCCGATTATTTTCTTGAGACGAAAAATTATAGTACTCATACCATCTATTTATATAAATTAAAAAATAAATAATAATAATTTTTAAATGCTATAATTCAGTAATCAGATTGATGCTCAATAGACTTTTGAAAAGTTCGTCAAGGTGTGTCATGGAACTCTCTCAAAGAAAGTCGATTTAGGAAATAAATTTATGCTGAATAGATGTTTCAGGAAGTATACCGATTTACTTACTTACATCCAACTGCCCTTTTGATTGAATGCCAACTAACAATCATAGAGAAAGCTAAAAGTTCAATAAACTGCTTGTAAGGGAATTGATACTATTGTATTTAATCATGAATGGATGAATTTCAACTCAACTTCCCACAGGTTTTTTAACTGTCCGATCAATACACACTCGATCAAATTTGCCAAATGATACATGCATGGCATCTTGATTTAGAAGATTTGAGGTTACTTGCATTAGTAAGGAAAAATTGAAGAATGTATCTTAACTTATATGCACATTTACAATGTAAGAATTAGCATTAAATAAGGTAACTCATGTATCTTATATGCATATTTAGTTATTTACATTGTCAGATCTAAATCCCTGGTGCCATCGTCTTCCCCAACATCCGATGCCTAAAATAAATAACGAAAAAAATATTTTTTTAACTGTTGTACTTGTATAAATAAAGTCACCATAACATTTATTTTGCTATTCCTTTCTTCCATTCAAATGCAGTTCACAACAATGAACACTACAAGAGCAAAAATAAAAGATATAGCACAAACCTGTGTCCATGCATGCATGCACCTCAGGCAGCAGTTGCAATTCGGTTCGAATTATACGACAAACGGCTCAAATAATCTCCGGTTAGAGAAGCCAACACTCTGCCGCAAGCTACAGAAAATGCTGTGAACAAGATTACGAGCGAAGTCCAGAAAAACCTCAACACAAGTAACGGGTCCTTCCTGGCAGAGTTGAAGTGCTTAAAGAAGATAATTCTGAGCCGTCGATCTCTGAGGACGGTTTCGTATTCATTGCCATTCGATTTTATCAGTGGTCCGTGGGCCCCACCTGGGACCAGAACCGGGCTACGGATTCTGGCAAAGGAGAGGCCTTTCTGTATAGCTTCACACATCCATAGGAAAAGTACATCGGCAGCAATTTTGCATATTTGTTGGCGAAAGGGACTTGCCTCATTCGAGACGAATGCTCTTACCAATGAAGCTCCATCCTATTTCATTCAAAAAAAGAAAAAATCGGTAACTGGAAAAACAGAAAAAATTGTGGAGGTGATTTGGGGAGTACACTGTAATATAGTGGCTGAGATGGAAGATTTTTTTTCTTAAGAAGAGGAATGATATAAGATGGATTTTAGCAAACCGTTCGTTCCAAAGGAAGTGATGTCTGAAGATTTCTAGCATTTTAAGTGCTTTATCACAAGTAATCTGATGCCACAGATGTGCAATTGTGAGATTATTAGTTTATCTCGGTCGATAATCAAGAATACTGTTAACTTCAGACTGAAATACGTTAATTTCAAGATATCTTCTGAAATTTCAAGTAATCGACTATTATTTAAACAAATCTGTTTCTATTGTGCAGGTTACACATATTTGGGGGACAGTTCTTAAGCTACACAAACCAATGATATTTTTGTAAGATAAATGACTGCCTATTTAATCAGATTTAAACTTTGGGGCTAGATTTTGTAATTTAACCCAATTACTGAACGTCTAAACCTTCGCTAATTCTACCAAAGTTGAAGAGATGAACTTTACAGGTGCTACTCATTTTTAACCCCATAAAACAAACACCACACATTTGCCCCTGTTTGACATTGGATCATCTGTTAAAAACGAGATCAAAATAAGCAATTAAGTGCTCACCGCAGTCATAAGGAGCCTTCTTAGGACAATACCATTTTTAGATGGTAAAATTTTCAAAGCCAGATTTGCAAGATCTACTGTGCGGGCAACCTCATCTGCCGACTGAGTGAGAGAAGTTTGAGTATTTACTGGCACCAATGATTGCAGCTGTTTCCTGGATAATCAAATGTTAGTCCTAGCTATTGATCAAATGCAGTTCTGGAGAGTACAAAGTTCTTTTTTTATAAAAAAAAGTTGCTGGTTCCCCAAAAAAGCACAAATTGCAAGATGGCCTTTCGAGTTTGAGGTTATAAAATTCTTCAGTTTTGTTGATAATTACACCGAACACTGGGAAATGCACGCATGATGCTATTATGCTTGATATGACAAATTTCACAAACCATGCTTTGTAGAAGTAAACTTCGCAGGTTTAATATAGTTTCCAAACTTTCAGGACATATTTACGAAATGTACTTTTCTACAGGACTATTGTTCTACCACCTTAATACTAATAACTAGTATTTTAATTAATAATTTTAATAATGATATTGATAAAGAGAAAATGTATTATAAACCACGAAACAAAAAGAGGTTGAAAGATGAAAACAGAGCATTCAAATTTCTATCCATCTATCAACACCATAATTAAGTATGCTTTTTCCTTGGTCAATAAATGAGGGCAAAAGCCAGTATCAATGTACCTAGTTGCTCCAATCCTTAGGAAAACAGCAAGCCTTTTCCACTGGAACTCTCTTCTGTTGTTAAATACAACCTGAAATTGTAAGCTAAGGTCAACAGCCGATTATTCTGACGAAGATAAACTCTATATTTCAATTGTTTTAACTCTTCGCAATCAAACATTCATTTATCACACGACATGGTTATAAATAGATTCCCAACAAAGGAAAAACTAACTGTAATTTTGCTGGAAGTAGACCATACCGAATGTAAGATTTTCCTAGTGGCAGCAGAATTGTCAACAAGAAGCTTCTGGATAACATACGGATATGCAGCTTCAAATGTTTTAAAACTTGGATCTGCAGCTACTGCTAATCCTACAAAAATAAAGGCACAAAATAAATATAGAGATGTATCATAAGGTGTGTGTTATTGCAAGCGAACTTACCGGAGTCTTTGTTAAGCATATTCATATAACTAATAGAAGAGGAAATGCAAGTCAATGTCAAGGAATAAGTTCATATTTATGTCTAAACTGGTGCCAATTTGTGCTGTTAATCTAAAAACGGACAGAAAAATTACCTTCCAGAGATGCCAGAGAGCGCAAAACAAGTACGTAGTATGGTGGCATGCGGCAATGATACTTTAGTGCTACAGACCAAATTCTACTCAGTACCTTAAGGATATGCAATTAAAGAAATAACCAAGATAGAATTAGGTAATCACTCAACTTCAGAGTATTTCCTTAACATTTCAATATATGAGATATATCTGAACACACATATATATGTATTGATACTAAATCATTAGAAATGAAATTATATAAGCAAGTCCTGGTATAGTTAACAATGGATAGAGGTACTAAATAACGGTCACAAGGTCCATGGAGTACAATATTTATCAAGCATTGATCCAATGGATCTAAAATCTAAAAGAGCAGTTGCAATCAATAATCTGTGTTTTGTATTTTCTTATTGCATCAGTTAATCTTTGAAAAAAATAATAATCACGGCTGATTTTTTATTTAGTAAAATTCAAGATATCAACACCTTCAGAGAATCCATATGGTAGAATGTATTTAGAAGGCAACTGTCAAGGGCCAGCTGATATCTACAGGTCTATTTCCTAGAATCTGAAACTTGATTGCATTTTATCCATTAAATATAAAAAGATCCATATGTGTACAACATAAATTCAAGTCTCTAGAAACGGGTGACTTTTATGTGGCGATTAGTTATAAATTATCCAATCACTTTTTTACCAGATAATTTTTTTATCTCAAAGTATAACTCAACTCAACTCAACCCTCCTCAATATTATCAATATAATGAAATAATATCAATCAATTATCCTCATACATCATATCAATTTTAATTCATTCATTCATATTAACTACCCATCACTTCCAATCACCTCTCTCCTACTTTTACATCAAATCAAGTTTAATCATTATATTTTAAATACTATTTTAATACAAACTCACAATCCCACTCAACTAAACTCAATCAACTTTTTTCAACATTAACTCTGGTTATCCAACAAATCCAATCAAATCCAAAATAACTTATATCCAAAGACCCTGTTAAGGTTCACTAAATGCCATGAACAATCAAACATGTTTTGTAACCATCCTTTATTACCTGGCAAGTGGTTAGATAGAGCACACAATTAACATTTCTGGTTAATATCAATAAGAAACTGTAAGTAACTGCATTCTGAGGACAAACTACTAATGTCTATGGTGAGCCAGCATTGGCTTCTCTGCTCAGACCACTTTAAGCTACAACATATGTGCACGCTTTAAACATAAGGAATCAGCATAGATTGAAGTGAAATGTTAAATAATAGATGGACATTAACAGAGTTTACTAATCAGAGCTAAAAAAATTGCCACGTAACCAGATGGTAAAGTGTGCATATAAGAAAAATTAATAGAGACATGATACCCACCCGACTAAACTTGACATCTGGCATTCCGTCCTTATATTCCAACTCCCCCAATGCATCTTCCAGGTCCTGGATCATTTCAAAAAATGTCACCCATGCTAGTAAGAATCTTTGAGACAGACTCCTATCAGAATATATAGTTTCAAATGTTTGACAATATAAATATTATTTAAGCAATCATAAGCTTAAATTAACAAGCAGGAAAAGGACCAAAATAAATATCCCAGAAAAGGATACTACCATGGTAAAACGCCTAATGTTTGTTCCAGGTCTTACAACATCCATTTCAATCAAATCCTGCACAAGGTTTGCCCAATCGCAATTTACTAAGTGCACAATGGAAGCAAGCATTGCAAATTGGTGTTTCTTTTCCATCCGACAGAGCAACCCAAAATCAAGAAACCTATCAAAATAGAGTTGACACACCCAAATTTCAGGTATCAAGTATACTGCTTGAGGCATAAGTATAACTCTGAAATTTTCAATTTAGTGATAAATCATGTGTGAAGAATCAGCAGTAGGAGAATACCCTATTTTCCCAGGTATGTACCGCAAATTTCCTGGATGTGGATCGGCATGCATTAGGCCAGTCTCAAGAAGTTGGACCAGTGAAGCCTCCACACCTTTGTTAACCTAAAAGAGTCAGGCAGCTGTATCGATAAGTATAGAATGATAAAGAGTAGTATGTAGACAATGTTGTGGTTCGATACTGATTCTCTTGCTCTTAGATACTACTTTTGCATCTCGGACTAACAAAAATCATAATGTTTTGGGTTCGCCCAACTTACATGTTTAAAGCTTGAACTGTTAACAATATAAGCTGTGAAACAGAAAGTCCAATATACTTCTTTCTATGAAATATATTGAGATAAAATATTTTGAAGGAACACTCATACCAGATCAAGAAGCTTTCGTCTAGACTCCTGAGTGGACATAGATATTAATTCACTTGGACTTTCACCAGCCATCCATTCCATAGTTAAAACTCTCTTGTAATACTTTTGGTGAACAAATAAATTGAAAGCGAGAATGAACTTCCTGCAGCGAAACAAATGAACGACAGTTAAAAGAAATATAACAATAATGGATTAGCAATAGATACATCTATTTAACAGGATCAGCAGAGTAGAAAGAAACTAAAAAAAAAAGTAAATAAATAATAAAATAACGACTAAAAATTCCTACCTTCTAGCAAACCACCAATGTTATTAATGAACTTTGATATTGGCACCATGTAACAAGCACGGGACGGTAGTCCCTCTCGGATTTCAATGAGTTACAAAGTTAGTCAAAGCGAGAGAGTTACCATGAATTCTAAAGCATTAGCTGCCTCCAAGTTGTAATCTAACTCCCCAACCAAGCCTTTTCCAAGTTCATCCACATACAGACGAAGATCATTTTTCCTTTTTGCTACCTTTTGCAAAATTCCTAGCTGGAAATAATTTCTGAAAAGTTAATAGCAGCATCTTGAATAACTTTGAAGGTGAGAGACAAACAAGATTGGACGTACCCCAATACGAAGGATATAAATATCTCTAACAACAACATGGCGTAAGTCGGGACGCTGAACTTTCACAGCAACATCAAGCCCATCATGTGTACTTGCCTTGTAAACCTACAAAATTTGTTAACAAGTATATCAGAAAAGATAAATGACGGCACACCCAAAAAGGAACGAATTTGTTATACATTCTCTCTACAATTGATAAATGACTTCCTACATACAAGATAAAGTCTAGTGTTCATGAAGCATGGAAACCTCTTTTACACCTGCCCAAATGAAGCTGCAGCCACAGGTTCCTCAGAGACAAAGCTAAAAAATGTCTCCACAGGAGAGCCTAATTCTTCTTCAATGATTTTCATTGCTTTAGCCCGGGGGAAAGGAGGGATCTGATCATGCAGCTCTGAAAGTGCCTACAATAAAGCAAGCAATAGAATATGAAACATGGATTATTCTATCACTACTAGTCAACCTATGCAGTGTGTTCACTGTATATAGAACTGACTTCTTTGGAGTGTGTTCATTGTATATAGAAAAAATACGTTTTTTGGTTGTTTTCTCAAAATTTTGGTGGCTTCTATTTTCTCATATTTTCAATTTTTGGCTTATTGGCATTAAATTTCCATGAATTGGAGTTTGACTTTTTTACTCAAATTTTGGGGCAACATATGATAAAAAAATCATATAAATCCTACTTGAAACTTATTATATGTATTTGCTATTGCGTTAGTTAATTGAAAAGAAACACACATGATCCACAGTTGTATGTTTTATTTTGGGGACGGGTGGGGGAGGGGGGAAAGAATCATTCAGTTTATCCATCACCTCTGAATTTTTCTAGTGATATTGACAATATTAGAAAATTAAATTAGCTTGCATAGGTAATCATAGCTGAATTTTGCTAGTCCTATTGTCAACATCATGTAGAATTAAATTAGTTTGCATAGGTTATCACATTTTATTATAGATATTGTCATTTTCTCGGGATAAACATTGTTAACCATTAATGAAAAATAAAAATGTCCAATAATGAGAAAATGTGGAATGAGCGGGAAAACCACGATTTTCCCAGTTATTCCACTTTTGGAATGAGCGGGAAAACTCCCAGCTATTCCACTTTATTCCACATTTATTGTTTCTAATTATTGGTCATTGTTATCTATTATTATATAAAAAGAATAACCTTTTTATAATTTTAGAAATGTTTTCCCGCCAAATACATTAAATGTATCCTATAAATAGTAGTTGTTGGACAATATTGATAAGGCAATAAAATCGGCAAATTAATTGTGTTAGAATCTGTTTTCCTTTTTTTTATTTTATGCGTATTGAAAATCGCGTAGCATAAATCTAGAGTATCTCCTATCAGTTACAAAATCTCATTGCATACGTCTCTAAGTTTAAAAAATCTTCTCTTATATTTAAAAAATAAAATAAAATAAAAACCAATTCATAATTACTACTAGAAATCCATTATCTACTTTAAAAAGCTAATTTTCATAGGTCTAATTACTAATATTTTTACAAATATTATAAGCTAACCATACATCCTCGATAACAACGTAAAAAGTATAATAATAATGGTGTGTAATCAAATTTTTTAGATGGAAGTAACGCTATAAATTCGGTATCATCTGACGTAATATCTTCTATAAATTATGCTTATAATATTTTAGATATTTTAAACAAATTGTTTAGACATTTTTTTTACATATTCGTCTATATATATATATTATATATATATATATATACATATACACATATACATAATTGATGTTAAATTTAAATATTTGTAGACATGTTTTCTTTACAAAATAGTCTAGAAAAATCTTTTTTACACAATGTTAAATTCAAATGTTTTTAGATATGTTTTCCTTCTAAAATTGTTTAGAAAAGTTGTAGGTGACTTCACATCTTTCAAAAAAAATATAGAAAATTTTGAATACTTTTACATATACTAATATAATGTTTTAGGTGTTTTTAATATTAAACATACAAATTTTATATTCTCTTATACAAAATAATGTAAATTTCATATTCTCTTATACAAAATAGTTTTACATTGTTTGATCTTTAATTTATAATTATAAAGTATTGTTTATCCTCCTCTTTAATTTATAATTATTTTTTTTCATTCTCTTTTTAAATAGGATCAATAGTAGTTTACACTTCCGCCATTGAGTGACTCAAACTCGAGGTCTATTTATAATATTGTTAATTTAATATTGTTCTCGTACATCGTACGGGGTACACACTAGTTTTTCATTAATGGTTAACAAAGTTTGTCATATCCCCCTATATATTAATTCAGAACGTGCTGAGCCTAAGTGGCAGGCTCGCATACTCCGGGATCCTATGTAGCAAAATTACATGATTTATTATTTGGCTTGGGTAAATTTTAATTTATTTCCAATCCATTAGTTTCGGATTATCCATAAATATGTTGATTATTTATAGTCATGTTACATGTATTAAATGCATTGTAATATCATTTCTTATTATAATCATTAAATTGTAAATGTATTGTAAAAGTTAATAACTTTTGTATTCTTTATCAGTTTTACATATATAATATATCATATTAATCATCTCTTGATGAACTTCGATTTTAACATCCGTATTGTATGTATAAAAAAAAATTATATTTATCTTTATAGCAATAATAGAATTATTTTTTAATATTAATTAAAAAATAAAACTTTATCAATTAATATATTTATGTTTCAATTAGTTATATGATATATGTTAGAAAAATTACTATAATATAACATATGTAAGCGCACAAGTAACAAGTATCATAAATAAATTTTTTGTAAAAAAGTAATTAAATTTTAAAAATTGAAGAATAAATTTTTTAACAAGCACCCGTGTAATACACGAGTGTTGTACTGGTATATATATATATATATATATATATATATATATATATATATATATAGAAAGAAAAGTGGCCACCAACCAAACTGACTAAACTCTAAAAACTAAAGTTACTATTCATCCTTGAGTTGGTAGCACTCTTCACTTGGGACCAATAGATCTCAAGTTCGAATTAGTGGGGAACCACTATTGATCCTCTTTTTTAGGAAAAAAGTAACTAATTAAGTAATATATGGTGACGAAACTGACCAGAATCTATATAAAACCGAACGTTAAACCGGATTGAAATATTGACACCTCTGAATTTTTCTAGTGATAATGACAATATTAAGGAAAATTAAATTAGTTTGCATAAGTAATCATAGCTGAATTTTGCTAGTCCTATTGTTAATATCATGTAGAATTAAAATTAGTTTGCATAGGTAATCACATTTCATTACATATATTGTCATTTTCTCAAGACAAACATTGTTAACTTTTAATGAAAAATAACAATGTCCAATAATTAGAAAATGTGGAATGAGCGGGAAAACTTTTCCCAGCTACTCCACTTTAATATACTCCCTCTGTTTCTTTTTAGATGTCGTTTTAATTTAAAACCTCTAAATTACGATTTTAATGAGTTGTGTCATTATCTTATATAATAATCCTATTAAATTTAGTGTTTGAATTATTAATGGGTCTGTTTTAAAAATAATGATAAGAGATAAAGTTTTTAGGTGATTCTGCTAAGATTTGTTAAAGAGGATAAAGTTGAAAGAATGAATAAAATATTTCCAATGACAACTAATTTGCAAAAAGATTGACATCCTACAATGACAAGTATAAAAACACATATCACTATAATATATATATGTATATATATCACTTTAATATTATATATCATATATATATATATATTATAGTGATATATATTAAAAGTGATATATATGTATATATAATATATTAAAGTGATATATATATATATATATATATATATATATACTTAAGTGGAGTAGCTGGGAAAATTGTTGTTTTCTCGCTCATTCCACATTAATTGTTTCAAATTATTGGACATTGTTATTTTTCATTAATGGTTAACAAAATTTGTCATATATATATAGAGATATATAGGGAGAGAGAAAAGAGAAGTGTCCCCCAACCAAACTGACTAAACTCTAATAACTGAAGTAACTATTGATCCTCGAGTTGGTAGCACTCTTCGCCTAGGACCAATACGTCTCGAGTTCGAGTCATATAGGGGGAAGGGGTAAGTGGAGAACCACTATTGAGATGATTGGTCAACCAATCAAATACTTAAAATTGACCCATACAGAACAAAATCGTCCCAAATACTTAACTTTGTCTAATTCTGTCTATTAGTATCGCTGAACTATGTTTAATTTATACATACTATAAAACAGTCTCACATGAATTTATTGTGCGACAGTCGAAACATACTTTCATACATTCAAAGTGAAAAATCATACACTTCAAAACAATTATTACATTGTTTACATAATTTTTTATATGTATGGTGTTTCACCTTAAAGTATGAAACATTATTTATGACTTTTGCAGATTATAAATACATGACTGTCTCATACTAGGTTTTATGTTAATCCATTTGTCTAGGTATATATGGAAGAAAACAACATAGAGCTAATTTCATCTCATACCTTTGAAATTCCATAACCTGTAATATCTGGTCTTGTAGAAAGGGACTGACCAACTGCACGGAAAATTGATTACGAATGAGAATAAAATATGATCTTAGTCGAACTTGTAATAAATGAGAATACTCAGGTGGAAATTTCATTAAGGATTTAAATACCGATACAAATTCTTCCGAAATCATACAAATCCCATATTACCTTTTATAAAAGTGGGTCCCAGGTTTAACATTGTTTCTTTCAATACCATCCCAAAATTGTAATCAGAATCATTTCCTCCAGCATGTGCCTCTGCAGCAGAACTGATTGAAGAAATCCTGAATTTGATTGTGGCGGAAACAAAGGCAATAAAGACCTTCAACAAGATAAAAGCCAGTAAGGATGGGGTTTAATTAATCAGGTCTCAAAAAACAACTCTTGCTTACAGAGTCTATCATAAATCAAAGAGAAAAAGATAAATCAACAACAGCTTCCAGTAACACAAATGAAAATGCATGGTACTTCAAGCACATTAAACATCCATATCATGTGAAGGTTAAAATACTAGACAATAATGAAAATATATATTCTCTGCCATGGACCTTATTCAATAGAAGTTCATTTGGCCTATTAACAAGTTTTCTTGTAACATAGCAATTTCATTTCTTTGTTTTCAGCTTTCTTTTTTATTTTTTCCTTATTTATTTTTCCAGGAACATAAGAACTACATCATTGCGACAACGTTGGAAATGCTACTACAGATCTCCGATAGTTTTAAAGAACAAGATCATCACTTTTCTCTTGGAGCATAAATTCCCAGGCACGAAAAGGCCATTTCCATTTACTGAGATTTTTTAAGAAAACCTCGATCCAGTATGAAATCCATATATGCAGCTAATAGTAAGTACTGAAGAAAGATTTCAGCTCATTGTAAGGTGTAATCGCTAAGTGCAGTAAATCAAGATACATGAGAAGAGAACCAGCGATTTATAAAGTCAAAACCATTGGAGAAAAAATAAGACGGCGTTATCTACTTAACTGCCACCTAAGCTAGCTTAACCCATTAAAATCACAATTAATAAAAACATGCTTTAATTAATATAGCTAAAAACAATTGCGTGCAGGTGCATGTTCATATATTCAACAAATTACTCAAGCCTACAATCTTTTAAGTTGAATACTTCCCCCAATAAATTGAATCCCAAGGAATGTGAACCATTTCAAATTGCACATTTAATTGTATGCAAATCTTCGACGAAAGACACTGAGCTCAAGCTAACGCATTCTATGAAGAGAGCTAAAACTCAATTCCAGTTTAGCAAAAGCATCTGATACCGAAAACTATAGGATTACTAGTCCATATGGGTAGAGTAAAAATGTTTGAGGTCAGTATGACGAGAGCACAAATTATTCCACGAGTAAAATAAAAAGTTATTACCTCAAGAAGTCGGAGACCTACTACATGAGGCCTCAAGGTGAAATATTCTGTAACTTCCTCTGCATCATACATTTCAGGAAGAGGCTTTGTCCACATCTTGGATAGATAATAAAAATAGCTAGCATAAACCTCCATGGCTTTGAGATCAGCCAGAAATAGATCAACACCAGAGAGCTCTTCAAAACAAGAGAAAATAGTTATGTTCAGAGGGCTTTTTGTATGTACAAGAAAGTGAGATCCAAAGTAAATTTCTTAAGTTAAATACAAAAAGCAGGTACGCACAAACAGAATGCGACCTCAACACCTGTTTTTACACTCATCAGGGTCTTCTTGACTTATATGCAAATGCATATTTCTTTGCTCTTTCTCAATAAACTTATAGCATCTAATTAAACAATCAATCATCACTGTGAACATTATGATTCATGCCGCAAACTAGTTATGAAATATAGATGAAAGGGCACACGGTTGGGACTCTTTTATGTAAATTCTGTTTATCCACATTTATTCACAACTACGAAGCTAAAGCTTGACTGGAAGTCATACTTTTGGTTACATAATTTCATAACCGCGCCAAACATGGGTTACAGTCGAGCAATATTTCATGAAAAGGTTAGTTTCTGCATTTTCTAATTCAACGGACATCTACGGACATGCCAGTATACAATGCCGCCGACATAAGCAAGATAAAGAGCAGCATACGCGCAAATGGTTAGCTTTGTTATCAAAGTTTCTAACTTTGTTAGGTAAGGGAAGCTAGAATCTAGTGAATGCCTTTATGAAAAGTGACCCAAAGTGCCCCTAAATCCAAACCTACAACCAGCATGACCAAACTACACGTAGAAGTTAGGATAAATTCATCTAAACTAAATAATAATAATAATTTTTAAAAATAAAAAAATATAAAAAAATAAAAGCTTAGCCGAGACGTGCAGCTCAACAAAGTTCCCCATTGAGGCACTATCAAGTTCGAACTCTACCTGGATAGTAAGGCTCAGGCCAAGACGGAAACCCAGAGGACACCGCCTGAGGGTCCTCCACATTCCGCAGCCATATCAGATCCTCCACGGACTTCGACACCTCCGGAACTCGAAACGCTTTGTTGGCCCACCGCAATCCCTTGCTAAAACCCGCTTTCAAAAACGCTATGTCTTTCTGCACGACTTCAACGACGTTCCTCAGCCCACCACCATTCCTGCTCGGCCTCTGCTCCTTGTCGAGGCCGACGCTTTTACTGTCTCTCTTCAAGGGACTCCTCTTGGTGCTCTGAGTGGCTCTTGCGGAGCAAATAACGGGGACCGGCGATATTGCTGACGCCATACGAACCCGAATTCTTCGGATGTGGATTTACGATGGAAATTTGGCGGCCATTTGAGGTTGAGAATTTGAGATCGGGCGTAGAATTTCAGGTGATTATCTCGCAGTGTTCACATGAGCAGCAGCGGAGGAGAAGAGTGGAGACGGATGAATGAAATGGATATCGACCAATCGTGTTGGCCGGTGGGGGTTACGGAACCTAACTGAAATTTGGAAAAAGAGTTGGGGTTGAAAAAGTATAAAAGGATAATAGAGTTGGCCGATCCTGTTGACCTAACGAGCCGATCTGAAATATGTTGAGCTCGTGTTTGACTATGTCCGATCGTTGTTCGTATTTAATTCGTTTATTATTTTAGCAAAAATACATATTCAAACTGGTTTGTTAGTGTTGGTCGATGGGCGTTAGGGAGCCTGTTTGAAATTTGACAAAGCGATGATATCGAAAAGTAAAACAACAAATGGTGTTGGTATCTTGTTCACTAAATGAGTTGAGCTAGAATATTTTTTATTTTTTTTAAAATGATAGAAGTATTATATAAATAAAATCGCACAAAGTGCGAAGAAAAGCAGCCAAAGGCTGAATAGCACAATCACTGATAAAACTAGGAGACAGATCCAAATGATCGCCTAAAGCCTAAACTAGCAAAGCTAGAATAATAAAGTCGCTACTACACAAATCAACTAAAGAAACTACAGAAAACTACTAAAAGATCTCAACGGGATAATACCCGAGTGTCCGATCCCAACAGGATAACAAAGTTGACACTCGGGCGCACAGGGACAACTGCCCAAACAAAAAACACAGAACATGGACACACAGGCAAAACGTCCAAACCAAAACACAAACCTACTACACCATAAGACAACGAAAAAAATACACAAGGCCCTTCCACGGCAACTCAACCGACCTTAACCAGCGGAGAACGGTCGAAACAAAGAATAGTCCAAGTCTAAGGGATGGCTTCCTAAACTGCCACAAGGCCTATATAAAAAATCGATCTCAAACACAAACTAAACTCCGAAACAATCCGCCTCAACCGGAGGGACAACCGAACCCGCACCCACTCTAGCACTTCCCGAGCACGCCTAACACCACTAGCCGAGCGAAGGAGCACTAGAACCATGCCGTCTAACACCACTAGCCGAAACAGGGGGGGTGCTCGGGCCCTCAACTCCGACACACCATCAGATCCCCGTCCCACCTCTCGACCCGCAAACCAACCAATATCACCGCAGATCACCGGCATCAGGACGAGAAAACCTCGAACGAAGGTCCGCCGGAAAAACGGGACCGCCCGAGGGCCCTCTGTTCGCACTCAGAATCTGAGACAAGAACCAAAGCAGAAATTGAAGGAAGACTCACCTCCAATCGAGACCGGCAGGTAAACGACGTCACCAATTGCAAACCGATCGACGACCAAAGAGCTCGCCTCCTCCAACCTCCACAATCTGGCGAAAATGGCCTGAGCAGACCAACAAGCGCCGGTACTCTGCAGCAACACCGAAGGTCTGGGACAGTAGAGGATAGGCGGCGGTCGAGCACGACCACCTTCCGGCGCTGCACCGCCACTGTGGAAGGCGACGTGATTCAAATGAGAAAGGGGCTAAGGTTTTGGATTTTTTTCGGGCTAGAGCAGAGAAGAGAGAACAATGAGCTAGAACATTTTCAACTCGTGTTTTATTACATTCGACCTTTGTTCGTATTCATTAGCTTATTATTTGAGCAAATATTCAATATTTGACTTTGTTCGTTTAATTGTTCACTGAAAATTAAGTTTGTTCGTGCTTGAATAATTTATAATCAACGTTATTGAAATTGTTTGATTAAGTTGAGTTCATAAACTCGAATATTATTTTTTTTTCTCAATAAATGAATTGCTAGTTTATAATTATTTTACTCAAAATATTATACATACAAATATAATAATCAAATTATATTAAATTAATTTTGACAAACATTATCGAACGTTTTTAGACGACTCGTGTTTGTTTGATTAAGAAATGATCTTAATTTATGCTCAAGTTAGCTCGACCAATAGATAAACGAACTTTTATCAAATACGGGCGTACTCGGACTAACTCTTGTATCTATTTTGTCATAATATGCATGGATCAATTAGATCACGACAAATCTATCATTATATTAAAAGATTAACCATTTAACACATTTAGCAAGCTTTTCCCGCCAAATACATTTAATGTCTCCTAAAAATAGATTAGCATTAAATGTTGCCCTTAAATCATGGCAGTTGTTAATTTAATTTGGAGAAATCGTGGCAACTAAAACAAACAACATTAATTACGGCTGATTTAATATTTAAATGGTAAACAAATATTACTTTTTTATGACTGATTTAAATTTACGTCTGTTTAAAAGTAAAAAACTACTTTTGTGATTTCAACAAATTTGTACTCTTTAATGTACGGCTGATTTAAAATTAAGAATTTACTTTTGTATTTTCACAAAAAATCGTATAAAGAAGTATGGCTGGAATAATAATAAAAAGTTCATTTGTTAAACCATATTTTGCACTCATATATACGAATTCTCATCAAATTAGATTTAAAATTGTGAAGAATGTATATAGATGTGGACTGATTGAAAATATATGATTTCTTAAATTAAGGAATTTTTTCCGGTAAAAAAAAATATAAACTTTAAATATAGATTTTATTAGTAGTGTATACCAAAGAATATTGTTACATTTAAAATTCCTATGAAGAAGAATTCTATTAATTTTCAAATTCAACATCTCATAAAAATAATATAATACAGTTTTACATCTATGAAACAATATTTAAAACTCACCGTTCAACATGCATAAAATGTAAAATTACCTAACATGAGTCATTTTAACTTTCTAAAATCAGTACACAATTTGCTCGGTATGTACTAATAGTCTAATAATTAAGCGTTAATATTTGCTATGACATCTATTGGTTGGAAAGAATTCCATTTTGTATGGAATTCGAAATAAAAAAAACATATTATGAAAATCAAATCTGATTTAGAGATCGATTTCTTAATGGTTTTAAATTATGTAAATATATTGTTTCAGTTTTTAGGATTCTTTTTTATGATCTCAGTCTTTGCATTATATGAAATCTCTACTTATATAAAAGTCATCCTATTTATTAGAAATAGTAGGCAGAAAAGTCAAATGTAATTAATGCTTGCTGGAAATAGAATGATATTAATTACATATTTGTTTTGGTATTTATAGGCTTGACATTAAAGATTTATTATGGGATAAAAATCAGAACCGATTTTTTTACCTTTGCTGGAAAAGTCAAAGGTAAGTATAGATTTGTTTTATCCCATAACATCGGTTTAGTTAAGAAAATCCCATCAAATCAGTTTTATATGTCAAGCCTATGAATAAAGATTTAATCGGTCAAAATTAAATCCTTATTTTACGTCACCCATAAATAAAGTAGATGTCAAGCCTAAATTGAAGGGTTTAGTTGTCTATATAATCATTGATTTACGTAAATACATCTAATGTTTAAAGTTTGTGTAGATTGAAAATTCCTTCTTATCTTTTTACAAAAAATCGTATTATTATTGTATGGAAAATCAAACTCATAATGTTGTGTACAAGGAGGTCTTTAATAATATATATTGTTTGTTTGTCGAATACTATCTTATTGTACAATTTTCCTGCTTATTATTAAACTTTTATTGAATATTGCATCTTATAATATAGTATTCCTCAAATAAATATATCTCGTGCCTCGCACGGGTCAGTACTATATATATCCCGTACATTTTTTTGTATACATGTATATAATTATAAGTCTGGATAAATAGCCTTAAAATTGTGCACCTCGTGCATCACACGGGCTCTGTACTAGTTCTTGAAAGAAAAGAAAAAAAAAAGTTGTCTTCCATTAGTGAATCAAATAGGCAATCCTATTACAGGAGTAGCATCAGGTACTTTTTTTTGGAACAATAGAAATTTTATAAATAGAAAACATAATTACATCTAGAGCTCAGCTAAAAATCGAATCTAGTGATTGAAAACCCCGAAGGGAGCCTAAACACCACAACGCATCAACGATAATAATTAATTTCCAACCGGAGAGTTTAGATCCCATAGGGATAATAACACAAAAAATAGAAAAATAAAAAACACAGATAAAGACACACGAATACAAACACGGTACCATAGATTAAAGCCCTTCCCACAGCCAGACAGATGCACCAAGCAACCCTCGACGAAACACCACGACCGACCACCAAACAGACCAGGTCACGGCTCAAATGTCATCACGAGAAACTGCAACACACGCCTAACTAGAATCGAAATTCGGGACCCCAACCCTGCGTTTTGGCGGCCGACCCCAACCATCAGTCGAAGAACAGCCGAATACTCCCCCTCGCCACACAACCACCGCCTCGTTCCGAGCCCACACCACGGGCCAAACCCGACGCGACGACTGTCCCTTCTTCCCTAACAACAGGAGAAAAAAACAAGGGGAAGGATACCCACTGATCTCCGCCCCGACCACCTTTCCGGCTATCAGGACCACAACCTGCCTCTGCATCAGCACCGCAGCCCGCCGCCGCCTCAACGCCATGGAATCTGATGACCTTCGTCCAAAGATGGCAATCGAAAAGACGTGCCCCGACACCAAAATGAGGCCGCGCCGCACATTCGGGAACCGGCCACAGTTAATGGAGCCCGATGGCCTCGCTGGGGAAGACAAGCGCAAAAAATTAGGTCAGGAAGAAAAGGGGATAAATTCGGGAGCGAAGAGAGAAAAGAGGGTGTAAACTTTTTCAGATTGCAATGTAATATTAACAGTGTTGAATCACCAATTTGGTCAAGATGTAAGATATAACCAATTACTTAGGGCGTGTTTGGATATATTCGCTAAAAATATTTTTTTTGTTGTTAACTATGGTTAACTTTGATAAATGTGATATAGTTAGTTGTTATTAGAATTTTAAGTTTATATTAAAATAGTATTTAAAATAAATAACTATAGTTGATTTGATATAAAAATAAGAGAGAGATACTGTGAAGTAATGGTTAGTTAAAACTATGTGAGTGAATGAATAACGAACTAAAATTGATGTGATGTGTAAGAAAGATTGATTATTATTATTTAGTTATATTGATAGTCTTGATGGTAGTGGATTAAGTTAAAGTTAAGTTAGATTTTGAGTATAATTGAGTATGTGTTGAGAAAAATTATAAACAAATACACCCTAATGGTTTGTTTGTTATACATAAACTCATTGTATATTCAATACATAC